TGCCATATGTTCTTTGAAATAGTGCTGTAATTTCACGATAGAACACTGTTTTATGAAGCCAAGTATATGAATTAATCTGTGTGAGAGCCTGATGTTAGTCAATCAAGTAAGGAAGCATGTTAGACAGATGCCACAGGGAGAACTACTTGGGTAACCAAGGTACAAAGGAACAGATTACATTCAATAATATGCTCTGCTAGGTGAGTCATATTATTAACAGTGATGAGAGCAAAGATATTTCCAAGCTGACAGCCTGGGAGGATTCAGCAATACAGATTACTCATTTTCCTTCAGACTGCTTATGGAGCATGTTCCCACATGCCAGCTATATTGAAGCCTGAAGGAAATTCAGAAAGTAACTGCAGCAAGGACAGAATCATCTGCTTGGGATCTGCACTAACTGGTAGGTTTGCCTTTGCTGGGCATCAAAACAGGCAAACAAAGTGGATTCCACTCCAGATTCCATGTCTGTGGCCTGACAGCATCTAGCAAAGGTTAAGGATGAAATGTTTAACAGTGTCAAAAACGTAAGACCATGTGCCACATACGCTACTTAAACTAGTTGTTTTATTTAGGAATGTCCTACAGCTGAGAAGCATCCTTACCCAGGCTGCCCCTGAAGAAGAAAATTCTATATCTGAGATGCATTAGAATTCAATAAATGTTGGCTCTTTTGAAAAGCTGTTTCTCCTTCACCTTCCTTTCATACACAGTGCCTTCCTTCCCTTTTTCTCCCCTGCACATTATTGTAACAGGAAAAGAAGGGCATGTTCCTTTCTCAAGTGTGCTTTGATCAATACTGTACCCACCCATTTTGTATACTTTTTTTCTTTTCAAAATTTTAATCTGAAAAGGAGTTCTTTGAAGGCAGTGGCTGCTATTCAAAACAGAGTTAGGGAGGCTTAATCCCACTGAAATCAAGTATGCCGTGTGTGTGTGTGTGTGTGTGTGTGTGTGTGTGTGTTTCTCTAACATCGGAATACAATCTTACTTTAAAAACAAACAAGAGTGAAAGCATGGCTACATCTAGAACATTGTACTGCTACAAGCTATAACATGTAGCTTCCTGCAGAAGCTACATACACAATAATGTTATGGTGATGGGCTATATTGTGAACTGCCCTGAGATCTTTTGATGAAGGCTAGTATATTACACACACGCACACACACGCGCGCGCACACACACACACACACACACACACACACACAGTCTAATGATATTGATTCAAAGCTAGCAATAAGGGGGGGAACATCTAGGCTTTAAAATCTTCCAGAAATGCCTCATAACTAATTTTGAGTTTGTGGTTTTGAACCTTGCACAAGCCCATCTTTCCAAAATTAGCAACACCTTGGAAGCAGACTACTGTCTGTGTGGGTAGAAGCAAAAAAGGAAAATGCTTTCCTTTTTCCTGATTCATTTCCATAGAATTACAGTGTGTTACTGGCTCTCTCGAAACCAAGATTTGTTGAGTCATAGATCCCCACCTTAGTTTAAGGTAATGTGAGTGAAGGATCGTATCAAGAACATACTGGAGAAGACTTTGTTGGGAACAAGAATATGCTGTCCAGAAATTACAAGCAAAGGTAAGCTGCTTCGTACGAGGGGAAGTGAGAGTAGATGGAGCATTTTGATGCTCTTAATCTTTCAGTTGTTCTCTATAAAGGTTCCAGAGGATGGCACTAAGGAATACTGCCATAACTGTTTCATTCTGAAATAAGGAACTTAAGTGTCGTAGGCTTGCAATGTCCAAGTTTTGTTTTGTTTTTGTAAAGAACTACTACAAAAGATAATACCGTTCATTAACTATATTTGAACTGGAATATTTCACTGTAAGGTGCTTCCAAAGCATTTTGTGGGTAGGGAAAATAAAAATAAAATGCAGGGGCAAATTAGGAAGAGAATTAAAGGACAAGAGGAGACCCAAACACTTTGTCCAGTCATATGTGTGCCTGCCTGGACTTTGAGATCTTCTGTGGAGGCCACTAAGTGGCTGTTGTGGGTCTTCTGAGGGTGGGAGTTGTACATTTTCTTTCTTTCTTCATTGTCGTGCTTTTTAATGGTTTTAAGTGTTCAAATTCAGTGGCATTTTAATATGGCAACTTATTTGTTTGTTAAAAAAATATTTATATTGATTGGTATGTTTCCAGTTGTATGTGTTTCAGTTCAAGTTTTGAGCCACCTTGGGTCCTCTACTGGGAGAAAGGTGAGATATAAATAAAATAAGAATAAATAAGAACATAAGAAGAGCCTGCTGGATCTGGCCAGTGGCTCATCTAGTCCAGCATCCTGTTCTCACAGTGACCAACCATATGCCTGTGGAAAACACTCAAACAGGACCCAAGCATAAGAGCACTCTCCCCTCCTGTGATTTCCAGCAATTGGTATTCAGAAGCATACTGCCTCTGACCGTGGAGGCAGAGCATGGCCATTAAGCCCAGAACCTTGTATTTAAACACATCTTGTAAGACTCTTTTGTGACATTTTCAAATTATAGTACGCTGCATGCAAAGAGTAAAAATGAACAAAACGTTTCTCCAAAAGGTGACAGTAAAAATGGCAGAAACTAAAGGATTGCTGCTTGAAAAAGTAATGTGAGAAGGTGTATAGTAGAAATATAAAGCAAGTATTTAATTTATTACAAACTCTTCTTACCATATTCTTCAGTATGAACACCTTCAAAATGGCTTGCGTCAATTTAAAACAGCGAGAGATAGCCAACTAAGCCATAGTCATAGCCCACCCACTGAAATCAATTGACTCAAGTTACGCAACTCCACTGATTACAGTGAGTCTGCTCTGCGAATGACTAACATTGGGTATCATGCAGTAACAATAAACCATGTAGTGTATCATGTGGCTCTCTGATCTACTGATGGTGCTGAAACCAAAAGAAATAATTTAGTTTACTGCTTTGTGGATCAAGGCTATCTGGCATTCACCCAACTAAAACGGATGGTGTTTAAAGGAGGCTAAGAGTTAGCCGCTAACATATCACAACTGTGAGTGTGAACACTTCCTCCCTCTCTTTTTTCATATTGCCTGCCATGGACATTTATAGGCTTTGTAAACAGACACTGCCTCCAGTATGTTCCCACAGCTGGTCTGGGAAGCAAGTTTACCCACAATCCATTTTGAACCTGTATCTATCTTGTCATTTCTTAGGAAATACTGCATTTTGATGTATTTCCCTCCAAAGCAGCTTCAACCCAAATTGAGAAAAAGAATGATATTGAAGTTGGTAATGTGTACACAGCAATGTATCCTCAGAGAGAATTTTGTTTTTAAAAATTTGTTTGTCTCTTTATATTGCCCAAGGAAACCGAAAGCAACTTTGGTATTTTGTTGTATTCGGTTGACTTCATAGTCACAAACAACAAAGGCTTTTGGGGCACCACAAACATTAAGCCATTTACAGCGCATTCTTATGCATGACCCCCAAAACTAAGTCTCACTATATTCCAGGAGACTTATGTTCAGGCAAGCGTGCATTGCATTGCAATCACATTGTTGTGGGAGCTATTGCAGGCAAGGGACTACTTCATCAGTTGTATGGAGCTGAGAGAAAATATGTGCACACATATATATAGGCACTCAAGTCTTGTGCAGGGAAAAACTAATATATTCTTATTATCCTCCTTGTATGTATGTGGGGGGGGGAGCTATTTATTTTTTTAAAAAATTATAGTCTGCTGTTCATCGCGTACTGATACCAGGGTGGAGTACAACATAAAGCTAATGACACAACACACACACACCCTCCCCAGGTACATCTTCACTTGTTATTGAAATGATAACAGGATCAGCACCTGACATACCAGTCCAGAAACGGAACTCCACAAAGGAGGCCCTACTCTACATCAGCACCTGAATGAATCTCCCTGAAAGAGAACTAGGAGATGGTGGCAGTTTTGTGTGGGGAAGTGGCTAAAGGGAGGGGAAGGGTTCAGCTGCGGTCCAGCTGCAGTCCAGCTCCGAGGGCCTTCTGGCAGTTCCCTCACTGCGAGAAGTAAGGTTACAGGGAACCAGGCAGAGGGCCTTCTTGGTGGTGGCACCCACCCTGTGGAACACCCTGCCATCAGATGTCAAGGAAATAAACAACTATCTGACTTTTAGAAGACACCTGAAGGCAGCCCTGTTTAGGAAAGTTTTTAATGTTTTATAGTATTTTTAATATTCTGTTGTGAGCTGCCCAGAGTGGCTGGTGAAACCCAGCTAGATGGGTGGGGTATAAATAATAAATTATATTATTATTATTATTATTATTATTATTATTCAGCAGCTCCTCTCTCCAAGCTTGGTGCTTCTCACAGTTGCTTTTCCTTCAAGAACAGGACAAAACCCAACAGCATTGGGAGACAGTTACACATATCTACTGGATGACATCTATTTTGACCCTCACAATTTCAGCAGCAGAATTCCCCTCCAGCGAGGCTGATGGGTGTGTTTCATCGGAGAATTGCTCATCAGCAGTTTTATAGGAACCGCTCTTATGATGCCGCGCTTAACTTTCAAGGAAGCTGAGAAGTTTTGAGTAATTTAAGTACGAGTAGCAGCGGCAGCCAGAGTTCTGCAACTCAAATCAAGTTTTCAACCCGCAAGGCAGAGAAGCAAAAGAGACACCTGATATTGGAGAAGGGGAGTGGGGGCGTACTGGTTAAACCAGTTGCACCGACACCAACACTTTCCCATGAAAACGAGAGGATTTTTTTTAAAAAAAAAAAAGCTTCAAATACACTACATCCTTTTACCTCTGTTGTGGGAGAGGGGAGAGAGAATGAAGATGGTCAGCTTGTGCTTATGCCGCGGCCACAGAGAAAAGCACTCTGTCCATGCGCAAGGACCACTTGTTTTACAGTCCTAGGCTAGCTCAGCCACGACGTGCCTCTCCGCAAAGCGGCCCGTTTCTTTGTCCCGCCTCTCCTCGCCCCTTTCGCCTCCTACTCCCTTGCTCCTCGCCCGCGCCCCTTTCGCGCCCTCCTCCTCCTTCCTGCAGGGGCGGAGCCGGCAGCGCCTGCGCCCGGCAGCACCTGGCTCAGGTGAGCGCGCCGCGGAGCAGAGCCGCAGCCCAGGTGAGGAGCGCCCGAGCAGTGAGTGTCGCGGGAGGGGGGCGAAAACGCCGAGAAGGAAACTTCCCCCTCCCGACCCGTCTCTTGCAGGTAGGCTCCGTCCACTCCTGGGCTACGGTCGACGGTCATTCCCGCTCCAGAAACCTGCCCGGGCCTTTGGCGGCTCCAGCTTCCCACCCTCGTGCGCTTTGCTTATCCCCCTGCTCTCCGCGCTCCCTTCTAGCCCATGTGTTTCCTCCTTGCCTGGCCCTCTGTGGAGTATTATTACCTCTTGCCCTTTCCTCCCCTCACTCTTCCAAAGCATTTTTTTAAAAGGCTGGTGTTTGTTTTGTTCACAGTTTCTGTTTCCCAGAGTCTTCATTTCCCTCCAAACTTCGCCCTCGTTGCTCTGGGCTCGAATCTAATGGAGGCTTCCTTGCAAATAATAGCTTGGTAGTAAGAGGACACTGCGAAAGCCTGAGGGGAAGAAGGGCTCCTTTGACTATAGCCTTGGGTTGGAAGAAAAGTTCCTGCTCTGGGGCCGTCCACACAAGCAGGAGTTGCTTTACTTGGGACAAGTAAATAACCTCTTGGGATTTAAATCAGTGGACGATCTACAGGACTGTTGTGCTACACGACTCTTGCGTGTTTACTGTGAAGTAGATGGGGAAGGCCAGGGCTTCACTAGATAATATTGAACTTGGTAGGAGCTGCTCTTTAGTGCATGTAGCTCCTGCTACTGGAATGTGCCTGAGCCTAAAATTTCCAGGTGATTTGGGAAACATTGGAAGTTGCCCTGTGCCCAGATTTTTGTCAGCTCAATATTGTCTACAGAGCCCCCCTCCTCTGGTCTGGATTTCAGACAGGAGACTTTCCCAGCCCTACCTGGAGCTGCCAGGGCTTCGAATGGCAACCTCTGTATGCAAAGCATGGGTTTTGCTATGGAGCAACTGTCCTTGTATGCTGTGGCACACAACTGGAGAGAGTTGGCTGGGAACTGAACTTCCTGCCTACTCCTGAGAACAAAGTAATTGGGTCCAGTTAAATGGATCCAGGAAGGATCTAACCATGCTTACAACTAAGTCTGAGGATAATAGGCTATCCTCAGTCCATTTTTCTTGTGGGTTACTTGAGTTAAGACAGACCTTTTGTCATGGTAACTGAGGTGTTTGATGCAGGTTGATTAACTTAGTTTGGCATTGTTATGCAGATTGTCCTCAAGTTTCAGATCTGAGATTAAAGTCTTCATTTATAGCAGGCCTTGTGCAGCTGCACCAGAGAGGAGTTGTAAACACTTATGTTACCTCATCATGTGCATTTCTAGAATGACCACTTTTCTTGTGCCTCATCAAAGGACAGGGTTTAATAATTTGTAATATAAGTGCTTAACTTTGTGGTATTTGGTCTAAAAAGCCAGATAGCCTAGTTACAATAAAGTGGGGAGCTTTATCTCTGTGGATGATGCTTGGTGATATTCAGTGTGGAATAATAAAACTGAAGGCAGAGCTTTAAAGTTTGATAGTTTATTATGTTAAAAATTAGTAATGGAGGTACGACCATGCAAAGTAAGGGGTGAGGAGCCTCAGGCCCAGGGTCCTCCAGGCCTCTCTGTCTGGCATGTGGTCCTGTCCCCAGACTCTACATCCTTCTCAGCCACACTCCCTTCCCTAGCCTTTCTTCATACCCTGCCCCCCCCCTTGAGTGTTTTTGCCTCTCTGAAGTGTTTCCTTGAACTCTGAGTGCCTCTTAGTTGGTTTGGGGGGGGGAGTACAGCTTAAAGATAAAATTTGCATTTGTTTCTTCATTTTTGCTTTTGGCTCTGCCCATCACTATCTTGTGGCCTAGAAATGTAGCCCTCATTCTGAAAAAGGTTCCCCACTCTGGATGTTTAGAGAAGCATTTATTTATTAACTTCTATCCCATCCTTCCTCCCAAATGAGCTGGGTAAAAAGCTGGACATCGAAGTGGTAAGACGTTCTTATTTAAACAAACTACCCAGTTGTTCTGGGACGTGGGTGGTGCTATGGTCTAGACCACAGAACCTAGGGCTTGCCGATCAGAAGGTTGGCAGTTCAAATCCCCGTGACGGGGTGAGCTCCCGTTGCTTCGGTTCCAGCTCCTGCCAACCTAGCAGTTCAAAAGTACGTCAAAGTGCAAGTAGATAAATAGGTACCGCTCCAGCGGGAAGGTAAATGGCATTTCCGTGCACTGCTCTGGTTTCGCCAGAAGCAGCTTAGTCATGCTGGCCACATGACCCAGAAGCTGTCTGCGGACAAACGCCAGCTCCCTCGGCCAGTAAAGCGAGATGAGCGCCACAACCCCAGAGTCGTTCGCGACTGGACTTAATTGTCAGGGGTCCTTTACCTTTTTATGTATTTCAGCTTTCATATATATATATATATATATATATATATATATATATATATATGAAACAGAATGTTCTTAAGTTGCTTCTAAAACTTAATAATGATAAATTAATAACAATAAGCAATAAGTATGCCACTTCTTTCCAACCTACTTCATAGGCATAAATATGCTGCAGACAAGGGCTAACGGGTAGGATGTTGGTCCCTGTGAACAATTTTGAGGATAGGGTTGTGATCTTCTTACGTGATGTCTCCATATGGTGACCTGCCTGTTAAAGGCACTGTATCTCAGTTGGGAGTGGGGAGGAGGGAAATGAAGCAGTCCTATTTGGATATTTGCTGGTCCTGACAAAGTTTTTACCCTTTGAGGATGGAACACTGAAATAGTGTTGGTCTGTTTTCCAGCAGTCGTTCTTCGAAGTTTAGCTCCCAAGGAGACAAATATGACTGGGGGATGCATCTTGCTTCTAGCGCACACGCATATAAGTACAGTGGTACCTCAGGTTAAGTACTTAATTCGTTCTGGAGGTCTGTACTTAACCTGAAACTGTTCTTAACCTGAAGACCACTTTAGCTAATGGGGCCTCCTGCTGCTGCCGCGCCACTGGAGCACAATTTCTGTTCTCATCCTGAAGCAAAGTTCTTAACCTGAAGCACTATGTCTGGGTTAGCGGAGTATGTAACCTGAAGCGTCTGTAACCTGAGGCGTATGTAACCCGAGGTACCACTGTATGTGCACGTGAATGGAAATGTGTTTATGTCCTGCACAGGCTGCTATTTGACACACCGTAGGCGAGAACAAGAATATTGGAAGCATGTCTGTATTTTTCTTTGTGGAATGTTTGAGGGGGTGTACTTGAGACAACGTAAGGAAAACAAAACTGCATTTGAGATTGGTGAAGTAAGATATACTGAATGTGCAGCAATGACTTCACAGGGTCAGAAAAGTGTTGGGAAGGTTTATTCAACTCATTTAGGAGCTTAAGGATAAGAACTGCACAAAGCAATTTTGAGCAGCATGCCTTCAAGTTACCAGCATGGGGCATACAAATAGCCTGCAGTAGTATCTGAAGAGCATTCTTAGATAACTGTCTGCCTAGTTTGCCGACATACAAGTCTGTGAAGCAAGAGGTGGGATTTGTACTTTCGGTTTCCCTAATTTGGTCGTGCCAGAGCCCTGCCTAATGTTAAGTGACTGCAGTACAGTGGTACCTTGGGTTAAGAACTTAATTTGTTCTGGAGGTCCGTTCCTAACCTGAAACTGTTCTTAACCTGAAGCACCACTTTAGCTAATGGGGCCTCCCGCTGCCGCTGGACAATTTTTGTTCTCATTCTGAAGCAAAGTTCTTAACTGGAGGTACAATTTCTGGGTTAGCGAAGTCTGTAACCTGAAGCGTCTGTAACCCAAGGTACCACTGTACTTTGGATACTGCACTACAGTACTTCCTTAGCTCTCATGAGGAAGTTTTCTTTTCTTTTATGATAGGGCTTGTGATCAGTTGTTGTCAGAGAAATATGTTTCAGCATATATTTGGTTTCACTGTAACAATGGAAATCACCTTTTTAAAAAGGCTGGGACAAATTTGCATATGGTCAAATTTTGTCTGGGCTAAAATAACCAATAACTGGCTATTACAGAAATACCTTTTTTCCTTAAAAAATGGTATTTGAGCAAGAGGGAAGCTGCATTTCAGCAGGAGGGACAGAGGATGCCTTTTATCTTCAGGCACAGTTATGCATATACATTATGTCTTCGTCATTGTGCCACACTAGCAAAAACCTTTAAAAGGAGATTCCAGCACACAGCTGTAGGAATTCATTTACAAAACTGAAACTATCGGACTTGGGTTCACATAAGAGACTGGGAGTGGCTAGCTCCCTACAGAAAATTGTTGTCCCTCTTTAGGTGCTTATACATGTGACTAATCTTCCTTTGCCAATTCATCACCGGTTGAGAGTAAGTCACGCCTACTATGATTTCATCTCTTAGTCTGGCTGGATCACCTTTTCATTTGTGCTCTGCATGGTAATCTTTTACATTGCTTGGCTTCACATTCCTTCCTGCCCTCGTTTTTTTCCCTTCTCTCATGGTATAACTGATGCTGACATTAACACATGCTTCTGATGAAGTGTCTCACGAAAACAATGTATCTGTCAGCCTGTTGCAGGAAAAATGAGGAGTTGTGTGGCAACCCCTCTGGCTGGCTTCTTGCAAGGTGTTTGGTGAGCACTGCCTGCAAATATAGTGTTTTGTGTCTTGCTCTGTAGTTAACCTGTGCACTTCATTTCACTTATATTGCATGTAGTTGGAGAAACTGTGTTTGCTGCCACACACGCCTGAGGTAAAGGTTTGCAGTCAATTTCTTGAATGCCTCTGTTTGTTTTTTTGTATTGATTGTCATTTTCGCTACTGTGGCTAACAGAATAACAATAGCAACCTGCTTATTTAAATTTATACACATCCCATCTTTTTGCAGAAAGCAGGTCTCCAAAGCTTCTGGCAATAAGTGAAAAATAATAAACAATAAACACAAAGTTCTTTTTAAAAATAATGGTGGGGAGAGTAATTGAAAATATCTGCTCCCCATGTCTTATGGCTTCAAAGAACCATAGAATTGTAGAGTTGGAAGGGATCCCAAAGGTCATCTAGCCCAACCCCCTGCAGTGTAGGAATCTCAACCAAAGCATCCATGATAGATGGCCATGCAACCTCTGCTTAGAAACCTCCAATGAAGTAGAGTCCACCACCTTCCAAGGGAGTCCATTCCATTGTTAAACAGCTCTTACCATCAGAAAGTTCTTCCTGATGTTTAGTCAAAATACCACAGTTCAAGAAGGACACTGACAAACTGGAACGTGTCCAGAGGAGGGCAACCAAAATGGTCAAAGGCCTGGAAACGATGCCTTATGAGGAACGGCTAAGGGAGCTGGGCATGTTTAGCCTGGAGAAGAGGAGGTTAAGGGGTGATATGATAGCCATGTTCAAACATATAAAAGGATGTCACATAGAGGAGGGAGAAAGGTTGTTTTCTGCTGCTCCAGAGAAGCGGACACGGAGCAATGGATCCAAACTACAAGAAAGAAGATTCCACCTAAACATTAGGAAGAACTTCCTGACAGTAAGAGCTGTTCGACAGTGGAATTTGCTGCCAAGGAGTGTGGTGGAGTCTCCTTCTTTGGAGGTCTTTAAGCAGAGGCTTGACAACCATATGTCAGGAGTGCTCTGATGGTGTTTCCTGCTTGGCAGGGGGTTGGACTCGATGGCCCTTGTGGTCTCTTCCAGCTCTATGATTCTATGATTCTATGATTCTATGATTCTATGATTCTACTTTCTTGTAACTTGAAGCCATTGGTTCAGTACCTAACCTATGAAGCCGGAGAAAGTAAGCTTGCTCCATCTTCCATGTGACTGCCCTTTAGATATTTGAAGATGGCTGTTGTATCTCTTCTCAATCTCCTTTTATCAAGGCTAAACATACTCAACTTCCTCAACCATTCCTCACAAGGCTTGGTTTCCAGACCGTTTATCATCTTGGTCACCCTCCTCTGCATACGTTCCAGCTTGTCAATATCCTTCTTAAATTGTGGTGCCCAGAATTGGACACAGTATTCCAGGTGGGGGGTCTGACTGAGGCAGAGTACAATGGGACTATTACTTCCGTTGATCTGGATACCATATTGCATTCTGTTGATGCAGCCTAGAGGAGCATTAGCTTTTTTTGCTGCTCGATCGCACTGTTGACTCATGTTAAGCTTGTGGTCTATTAAGACTCCTAGATCATTTTCACATGTACTGCTAGTAAGTCAGATGTCCCCCATCTTATTTTCATGCAGCTGGTTCTTCCAGTCAAAGTGTAGAACCTTACATACCGGTATGTCTCTATTGAAATTCATTCTGTTAGTTTTTGTCCAGCTCTGCAATCCATTAAGGTCATCTTGAATCCTGATTCTGTCTTCTGCATCATTATCTACACCTCCCAATTCGGTGTTGTCAGGGGTTCAGGAGCAGAGGCACAGGAAAGGGAGGAAATAGAGAGCGAGGGGGAGGAGTCCGAAGGAAATGTTAGCGATGACAGCGGTCCGAGGTCTCTGAGTCTTTCCAGCGAATCGGAAGATTCACAGAAAGGGGCTCCCTTGGTCAGAGCAAGGGGGTGCCGAGGGGACACCCCAGGAAGAAGGGGCCAGAGGGGACTCAGAGAGCAGCAGTTGGAAATCAGGACCAGCGTCCACACCAGAGTGCAGTAAGGGGAGGAGTCCCAGGCATCGGGATCAGGCGGCGCACTGCCAGTGGGAGGACATGAGTCAGGATTGGCCACGCCTCCATCGGGGAGCGAGGAAACGGTCGAGAGGAAGGTTGAAGGCTGGGCGCGCGAGCCAAGTTCATATGTACAGGAGGGCGGCGCCGGTGGCAGCCCGGATAGGGAGCCAGGTCCCAACGCCCGCCGACCCGCGGGGGCGGAGTCAGGGGGGTCAGCGTCAGAAGAATCCAGGAAGGAAGGGACCCCGGGGGGTAGCAGGACCCAGAGGAGAAAGGAGAGACGTAAGAGGTGGAGTAAGGCTAGAATCTTAAACTGGTGTACAGGGGGCGGAGACTCAGATGGAGCTTCGCCGATCTAACCCCTAGACGTAGAGCTGGGGCGCTCCGGCTTGAAAATGGAAACTGTACTTCAATAAAGACTTTTGCACATTACTGCCGGCTAGCGTTGGTCCTCTGTGAGCTGGGACCTGGAGCCAGCTCTGACAGTAAGCTCCATCTCTTAAAGTTTTGCACCAAAAACCTCGTAACGTGAGTGGACGCAGCGAGGGAAGAAGATTGGTGCTTTGCGAGCTCACAAAAGTCAGGCAAGATGACTACAGAACAGCAACTAGCAGCCCTGCAAAATGCAGTGACACAACTCAACGCGGAGGTACTCGCATCCAGGAAAAGGGAAGAGGAAGCGGCTGCCGCCTGCAGGGATCCCAAGCCAGGTTGGAAGTGCTTGCTAAGCAGGGGCAACCGGGACCCAAATCAGAGGGGATTGGGCTGGGGAAAGAGGAGGCAGCCTGGTATCTCATTTCGATGGGAATTTGCAGCAGTACCCTAACTTCCGAGCAGACGTGCTGTTTGCGCTGGAACTGCTGGATAAAGACTTTAGAGATGAGCAAGAGAAGGTGGGGTTTATCTTGTCCCATTTGCATGGGGAAGCTAAAGCGTGGCTGCGCAATCTGTGGAGAGATAAGGATCCGGCGCTCCAAAATGCGGATGCATTCATTAAAGCGATGGATTCGTGTTTTTATCAAATATAGACATTGATATCGCCAGAAAAAGACATACATGGGCTCAAACAAGGCAGAGCCAGTGTAAGGCAGTACCATTCCCGCTTTTTGCATTAGTCCATGCGCTGGGATGGGAGAAGGATTCTGCCCCAGTCAGAGACCTTTTTGGGAAGGCTTGAATGCAAATGTGAAAGATGAGATTGCAAGGGGGGAGAGACCAAAGAGCACTCAGGAGGTTGTCCGGCGGGCGCTGCAAATTGGGGTGCGTCTGGAAGAACGTCCATGGAACAGAGAAGAAGGACGTTGGGGACGTACGCCAGTGAGAGCACCTCCCTCTTTCCCAAGGATACAGCGCGTGTGCAATCCCCACCTCCGCAAGGAGGGAGAGCAACCGATGGAGATTGGAGGCGCCAGGGCTCAGTCAACAACCAGAGCCTTAACACCGGGAGCAGTCAAAGCGAAGCCTCCTAGAGGGACAGGAAGTGCTACATCTGCGACAGTGCTCAGCACATGGCGAAAGAGTGTCCCCAGAGGCTCCACAAGCACACTGCAGCCTCAGCAACAGTAACAGAAGCAACTCAGCAGAGAGAAACACAGCAGGGAAACGACAGAGTCTGGTTGGAGGAAGAGGCACTGGGGCCCAACCAGACAAGTCAATGAAGCCGTCCCCAGAGATTTTGCAGCCCACAGACCCCCTCCCGCCCAAACCAGTGGTGCAGCTCACAGCATCGCTCCAACTACCCAATGGACTCACTATGGAAGTGCCGATTACCATTGACTCTGGTAGTAACGCAGACTTCATAGGACTGGATTTCCTTCAAGAGCACAACATAGCACTCCTGCCAGCCACGCTGCCTCTGAAAGTTGTCACGGTGGATGGCAGGGAAGTGCTGGGGGCAGGTGGTGCAGCAAACGCCTCCGATGCTAATGCAAATTGGGAATCACCGAGAAGTCATCAGCTTCAATGTCACCCAACTGTCGGACACGCCTATAGTATTAGGCATGAGTTGGCTGCACAGGCACAGCCCAGCATTGGCGTGGTACCAGCGACAACTGACCTTCGGCTCCTCATACTGTGCGGAACATTGCATTCTGCCTAGCCCGGAAGGGGAAGAGGATGACCCGCAGCTACAATTAGGCACGCTGCAAGCAGTGCCACTCAAGTACGCAGCGTTTTTGGAGGTTTTCTGCGAGAAGGAAGCGGACAAGCTACCTCCCCACAGGTCTTATGACTGCAAGATTGACCTCCTGCCAGGCGCGACGCTGCCACCCGGGCACCTGTATTCCATGTCCGAAGACGAGCTGCAGGAACTCAGGGAGTTCATAGACCTCAACTTGAAGCGCGGTTTCATCCGGGAGTCGAAGGCAGTTGGGGGCAGTCCTGTATTCTTTGTGAAGAAGAAGGACACGCCCCAAAAAAGGCTTGTGGTGGACTATAGAATTTTGAACTCAAAAACCAAGCCCACAGCCTTTCCCATGCCCAAGATAGATGACCTGCTCGCAACGGTGAGGAAAGGACGCGTTTTCACAAAGTTGGATCTGCGAGGGCGTACAACCTGATTCGCATACGGGAGGGCGACGAATGGAAGACTGCCATGTTCACGCCCCTGGGCACCTATGAATACAGAGTTATGCCCTTTGGATTACAAAATGGCTCCCACTGTTTTCAAGCCTTCATGCATCACGTATTGGCGGGTCTCCTCTACAAGAAATGCGTCTGCTTCCTGGACGACATCCTGATATTTTCAGAATCAGAGGAGGCCCACGAGGGAGACGTCAAGGAAGTTCTGCAGAGACTGCAGGAGCACAGGCTGTACGCCAAGCTGGAAAAGTGCCAGTTCGACATGAAGGAAGTAGATTTCCTGGGCTACAAGTTGTCGGACAAGGGGCTCGCCATGGACAGCGCCAAGGTTCGCTCAGTGTTGGACTGGAAGAGCCCGCGCAATCGGAAGGAGGTCCAACGGTTTGTCGGTTTCGCCAACTTTTACCGCAAGTTCATCAAGGGGTTCGCGATGCAGACGGCAGCCATTACCGACACACTCAGCTCCAAGAAGAAGAAGTTCATCTGGACGGAGCAAGCGGAACAGTCCTTTCAGAAACTCAAGCGTCTCTTCTCGTCCGAAGAGCAGCTACTGCATGTGAATCCCAGCAGACCGATGAGGGTTGAAACGGACGCCTCAGACAGAGCCGTGGGAGCAGTACTGTTGCAGCAAGACCCGCATGGGGACTGGAGGCCGTGTGCCTTCTACTCCAGGAAGCTCAGCAAGTCAGAGCAGAACTACACCATCTGGGACAGGGAGTTGCTGGCCATTCATGCAGCATTCAAGGCGTGGCGGCACTTCCTCATTGGAGCCAAACACACAGTGCAGGTCCGCACGGACCATAAAAACCTGGAGTACTGGCGCACGGCAAGGTTCCTGAACCAGAGGCACATACGATGGGCGGAGTTCTTTGCGGATTTCGACTTCAGGATAGAGTACATCCCAGGCGACAACAACATCATGGCGGATGCACTGTCCAGAAAGCCGCAATACCTCGAGGAGGCGGCACCAGCAGCGGCCAAGCACATTTCGCACCGCAAGCGTGGGCGTGCGCTTCAGCAACCGTGGACCTGGATGCTGTACGTCGAGCACTGCAGGAGGACCCCTTCGCGCAAGCAAAGATGGCAGAGGTGCAAGGGGCACGGCGGAGGACGACGAGTTCCAGATACGCGACGGATTGCTCATCCGCAGAGGGGCCCTCTACGTACCGGGAGACGACCTCCGCGCGAAAGTACTGCAGCAGTTGCACGACGCACCCACCGCCGGGCACTTTGGCAAAGAGAAGACGGTAGAATTAGTAGCCAGAGATTTTGGTGGCCCAAGATGCGGGGGGAAGTCGCGGATTACGTCTCGAGGTGTGACACCTGCCAAAGGGCCAAGTCAGTGCACAAACCGCCGGCGGGACTGCTCGAACCGCTGCAGACACCGATCGAACCGTGGGAGAGGGTGGCCCTGGACTTTGTCACGGATCTACCCAGCTCGGGGCAAGACGGCAGTGCTAGTGGTGGTGGACATGTTCACCAAAATGGCCCACTTCATTCCGTGCGCGAAGGTGGCCACGGCGGAACAGACCGCCAAACTGTTCATAGACCACGTGTTCAGGGTTCACGGTCTGCCACGGTCTATCCTGTCCGACCGGGGCGACAGTTCATCTCGAACTTCTGGCAGAAGCTGATGGGTTTCCTGAACGTCAAGATCAACCTAGCGTCGGCGAGACACCCGCAGACGAACGGACAAGCGGAGCGAGTCAACGCCATCATGCAGCAGTACCTGCGATGCTACGCAAATCAGCAGCCGGCAACATGGGTGGACTACCTGCCGCTCGCTGAGTTCGCCTACAACAACACGAAGCACGTGTCCACGGGGGTGACACCGTTCTTCGCCAACAACGGGAGGCATCCCAGAACCTTCCCGGGATTAGCGAGAGCGGGGAGGGGAGCCACAGGCAGCGGAAGCCTTAGCATCAGAGTTGCAGGAGGTTCACGAACAGCTTAGGAGGCAGTTAGAACTAGCAAAGCACGCATACAAACTGCAGGCTGACAAGCACAGGAGGGTTGGGGAAGACATACAGGTGGGAGACTGGGTTTGGTTAGCAGCCCAGGCAGTGCCGGCCAGATCGTTAGCGAAGAAGAAGCTAGGGCATAAGCAGCTAGGACCCTACCAAGTCGAGGCACAGGTCAATCCAGTGGCTTTCCGGTTGACACTGCCGGAGGGATCCAGAATGCACCCAGTTTTCCATAGATCAGTGCTCACGCCCTACAAAGCACCTCATAGATTTCAGGAGCCAGGAACGGCACCAGACCCGTTCAGGGAAACGCCCACAAGGGGGTCGCCAAGGCGGGAACCCGTCAACGAAGTCACAGAGATTTTAGACTCGAGATGGGGGAGGAGGGAGTGGAATACCTCCTCGCCAAGGAAGGTACCCCGGCTAGCGCCAACAGTTGGGTGCCAGATTATGCTCTGGAGGAATCTTGGCTCAAGGACGAGTTCCATGCACTTTTCCCACACAGGCCCATGCCAGCCGAGTATTTCGACGACTGGCTTTTCACACCCACATTTTCAGCTAGCACATTCCAGGGGTTCACCTCGGACGAGGAACCGGCACTAGAAGCACGTTCCCCGGAGGGATCACCCTCGGGGTCTGCCTCAGACCGTTCCTATTGGTGGGACACTCAACCAGAGGAGCAGTGGCGCAGGAAGTGGTTGGGGGGTCCTTGGCAGGCAACGTCCCCGGAGGAGACCGGGGGGGGACCTTGGGTTCGAGCACGGCGGCAAAGAGATGGAAGCAGAGGAAATTGAGGTCGGCGAGAGCACGGAGGACGAGCCGGACTTATCCGGCTGGATGCACGCCACGGGGACGAACTGTATCCGGCACTCACCCCCACAACGACGGAGCACCCAGTACCCACACCTGAAGGAGGGGAGGGGGAAGGGGGGCTTCGAGGGGGATGGATGTCAGGGGTTCAGGAGCAGAGGCACAGGAAAGGGAGGAAATAGAGAGCGAGGGGGGGAGTCCGAAGGAAATGTTAGCGATGACAGCGGTCCGAGGTCTCTGAGTCTTTCCAGCGAATCGGAAGATTCACAGAAAGGGGCTCCCTTGGTCAGAGCAAGGGGGTGCCGAGGGGGACACCCCAGGAAGAAGGGGCCAGAGGGGACTCAGAGAGCAGCAGTTGGAAATCAGGACCAGCGTCCACACCAGCGTGCAGTAGGGGGGAGGAGTCCCAGGCATCGGGATCAGGCGGCGCACTGCCAGTGGGAGGACATGAGTCAGGATTGGCCACGCCTCCATCGGGGAGCGAGGAAACGGTCGAGAGGAAGGTTGAAGGCTGGGCGCGCGCGCCAAGTTCAAATGTACAGGAGGGCGGCGCAGTTGGCAGCCCGGATAGGGAGCCAGGTCCCAAAGCCCGCCGAAAGAGGGGGAGGAGTCAGCGGGGTCAGCGTCAGAAGAATCCAGGAAGGAAGGGACCCGGGGGTAGCAGGACCCAGAGGAGAAAGGAGAGACGTAAGAGGTGGAGTAAGGCTAGAATCTTAAACTGGTGTACAGGGGCGGAGACTCAGATGGAGCTTCGCCGATCTAACCCCTAGACGTAGAGCTGGGGCGCTCCGGCTTGAAAATGGAAACTGTACTTCAATAAAGACTTTTGCACATTACTGCCGGCTAGCGTTGGTCCTCTGTGAGCTGGGACCTGGAGCCAGCTCTGACAGGTGTCATTTGCAGATTTGATGGGCATCCCATCAATTCCCCTATCCAGTTGTGATGAAAAGACCACCTGTGTCCCAAGTCCCTTCAGGAACCAGGAACACCATTCACATCAATTCAGTGTCATGTCCTCAAGGCATTAAATGGGATTTGTAAACACTCCAGTGTTGCCCCCTTTCCCCCCCTTCTGGCCTCTGCATGGCTAAGTCTTTCTTCTCTTCGCCAAGTTCCTCTTATCCTGCTGCTTTCCCTGGGGAAAACCGCTCTTTAGTGGTCAGTTGGAGCAAAGAGCAATTGGGTTTTCCGTGGATTGCAGTTTGTTCTGGCTTAAAGCTAGAGAGTGGGTTTAGGGTGGGAAAGGAGCGGGGCAAGGGGAAAACTGTTTGGACCCGTTCTTTCTAGACACTGGACGAGCAGAAGTGGGGGCAAGGCCTTAGATATTTCTGCTGCTGGTTTGACTATCCCAGCTGCTGCTATTCAAAGATTCTCTAGTGATCATAGTCACAAATAATGACTAATCTGTAATGGTGGTACTAATTATCATGTGTTGGATGCTTTGTCTTTGCACTATGGTCAACAGCCTAATGAGGAAGATGACCTTCTTTCTCTTCTGTCTTTTGTCCTTTTTAACCACCCCTCTTCACCACTGGATCCCTTTATTTTTCCTCTTGTCTGTCATATTTGCTGTTGTGTTAGTTTTCTGTCTTATAGGGTTGTTTTTTAGTGGGGAATGAGCTTTGTTCTCTGTGTGTGTGTTGTCTATTTCCTTATTGCTTTTTGTGTGTTTGGGCTATGATGTCACCTGTTGATGTACCATTGCAGCTCTGGCACTACACCTGAGCAGTTGCAGGGATTCATTACTGGGTGACTGGGTGTCTGTTCACTGATTCCTTAATATTTTGCAGCAGTGGATGGTGTCTGCATTGGAACTTCCATCTTCTGCGTTGGCACATGAAGTCTAAATGCCCAATCATACTTTGAATGTAAGGCCCTACTTTTGCACTTGAGTATAAAGCATTGCTGGGGACGCTGGTGGTGCTGTGGTCTAAATCACTGAGCCTAGGAAGGTCAGTGGTTCGAATCCCCGCGACGGGGTGAGCTCTCGTTGCTTGGTCCCAGCTCCTGCCAACCCAGCAGTTCGAAAGCACATCAAAGATAAATAGGTACCACTCCGGTGGGAAGGTAAACGGCGTTTCTGTGTGCTGCTCTGGTTTCTCCAGAAGCAGCTTAGTCATGCTGGCCACATGACCTGGAAAAACTGTCTGCGGACAAACGTTGGCTCCCTCGGCCAGTAAAGTGAGATGAGTGCTGCAGCCTCAGAGTCGTTTGCGACTGGACTTAACTGTCAGGGGTCCTTTACCTTTACCTTTTTATAAGGCATTGCTGCTTGGTAGTTCTGTTTGTGTGGCTCCACTTCTTCAATGATGGAGCTGTTGACTTGCTGTGGATCATATGTTCCTCCCCTGCTGTGTAGCATCATGCTCTGGTAATGGATGCTTTAGTTGACTGCATTGATGAGTATTGTCAGAGCTGGCTCCAGGTCCCAGCTCACAGAGGACCAACGCTAGCCGGCAGTAATGTGCAAAAGTCTTTATTGAAGTACAGTTTCCATTTTCAAGCCGGAGCGCCCCAGCTCTACGTCTAGGGGTTAGATCGGCGAAGCTCCATCTGAGTCTCCGCCCCCTGTACACCAGTTTAAGATTCTAGCCTTACTCCACCTCTTACGTCTCTCCTTTCTCCTCTGGGTCCTGCTACCCCCCGGGGTCCCTTCCTTCCTGGATTCTTCTGACGCTGACCCTCCTGACTCCTCCCCCTCTTTTCGGCGGGCTTTGGGACCTGGCTCCCTATCCGGGCTGCCAACTGCGCCGCCCTCCTGTACATTTGAACTTGGCGCGCGCGCCCAGCCTTCAACCTTCCTCTCGACCGTTTCCTCGCTCCCCGATGGAGGCGTGGCCAATCCTGACTCATGTCCTCCCACTGGCAGTGCGCCGCCTGATCCCGATGCCTGGGACTCCTCCCCCCTACTGCACTCTGGTGTGGACGCTGGTCCTGATTTCCAACTGCTGCTCTCTGAGTCCCCTCTGGCCCCTTCTTCCTGGGGTGTCCCCCTCGGCACCCCCCTTTCTCTGACCAAGGGAGCCCCTTTCTGTGAATCTTCCGATTCGCTGGAAAGACTCAGAGACCTCGGACCGCTGTCATCGCTAACATTTCCTTCGGACTCCTCCCCCTCGCTCTCTATTTCCTCCCTTTCCTGTGCCTCTGCTCCTGAACCCCTGACATCCATCCCCCCCTCGAAGCCCCCCCATCCCCCCACCCCACCATCAGGTGTGGGTACTGGGTGCTCCGTCGGTGTGGGGGTGAGTGCCGGATACAGTTCGTCCCCCCGGGCGTGCATCCAGCCGGATAAGTCCGGCTCGTCCTCCGTGCGCTCGCCGACCTCAATTTCCTCTGCTTCCATCTCTTTGCCGCCGTGCTCGACCCCAAGGTCCTCCCCCACCACGTCCATGTCCGACTCTACCCGGTCTCCTCCGGGGACGTTGCCTGCCAAGGACCCCCCAACCACTTCCTGCGCCACTGCTCCTCTGGTTGATTGTCCCACCAATAGGAACGGTCTGAGGCAGACCCCGAGGGTGATCCCTCCGGGGAACGTGTTTCTAGTGCCGGTTCCTCGTCCGAGGTGAACCCCTGGAATGTGCTAGCTGAAAATGTGGGTGTGAAAAGCCAGTCGTCGAAATACTCGGCTGGCATGGGCCTGTGTGGGAAAAGGGCATGGAACTCGTCCTTAAGCCAAGATTCCTCCAGAGCATAATCTGGCACCCAACTGTTGGCGCTAGCCGGGGTACCTTCCTTGGCGAGGAGGTATTCCACTCCCTCCTCCCCCCCCATCTCGAGTCTAAAATCTCTGTGACTTCGTTGACGGGTTCCCGCCTTGGCGACCCCCCCCTTGTGGGCGTTTCCCTGAACGGGTCTGGTGCCGTTCCTGGCTCCTGAAATCTATGAGGTGCTTTGTAGGGCGTGAGCACTGATCTATGGAAAACTGGGTGCATTCTGGATCCCTCCGGCAGTGTCAACCGGAAGGCCACTGGATTGACCTGTGCCTCGACTTGGTAGGGTCCTAGCTGCTTATGCCCTAGCTTCTTCTTCGCTAACGATCTGGCCGGCACTGCCTGGGCTGCTAACCAAACCCAGTCTCCCACCTGTATGTCTTCCCCAACCCTTCTGTGCTTGTCAGCCTGCAGTTTGTATGCGTGCTTTGCTAGTTCTAACTGCCTCCGAAGCTGTTCGTGAACCTCCTGCAACTCTGATGCTAAGGCTTCCGCTGCCTGTGGCTCCCCTCCCCCTCTCTCGCTAATCCCGGGAAGGTTCTGGGATGCCTCCCGTTGTTGGCGAAGAACGGTGTCACCCCGTGGACACGTGCTTCGTGTTGTTGTAGGCGAACTCAGCGAGCGGCAGGTAGTCCACCCATGTTGCCGGCTGCTGATTTGCGTAGCATCGCAGGTACTGCTGCATGATGGCGTTGACTCGCTCCGCTTGTCCGTTCGTCTGCGGGTGTCTCGCCGACGCTAGGTTGATCTTGACGTTCAGGAAACCCATCAGCTTCTGCCAGAAGTTCGAGATGAACTGTCGCCCCCGGTCGGACAGGATAGACCGTGGCAGACCGTGAACCCTGAACACGTGGTCTATGAACAGTTTGGCGGTCTGTTCCGCCGTGGCCACCTTCGCGCACGGAATGAAGTGGGCCATTTTGGTGAACATGTCCACCACCACTAGCACTGCCGTCTTGCCCCTCGAGCTGGGTAGATCCGTGACAAAGTCCAGGGCCACCCTCTCCCACGGTTCGATCGGTGTCTGCAGCGGTTCGAGCAGTCCCGCCGGCGGTTTGTGCACTGACTTGGCCCTTTGGCAGGTGTCGCACCTCGAGACGTAATCCGCGACTTCCCCCCGCATCTTGGGCCACCAAAAATCTCTGGCTACTAATTCTACCGTCTTCTCTTTGCCAAAGTGCCCGGCGGTGGGTGCGTCGTGCAACTGCTGCAGTACTTTCGCGCGGAGGTCGTCTCCCGGTACGTAGAGGGCCCCTCTGCGGATGAGCAATCCGTCGCGTATCTGGAACTCGTCGTCCTCCGCCGTGCCCCTTTGCACCTCTGCCATCTTTGCTTGCGCGAAGGGGTCCTCCTGCAGTGCGCGCCGTACAGCATCCAGGTCCACGGTTGCTGAAGCGCACGCCCACGCTTTCGGTGCGAAAATGTGCTTGGCCGCTGCTGGTGCCGCCTCCTCGAGGTATTGCGGCTTTCTGGACAGTGCATCCGCCATGATGTTGTTGTCGCCTGGGATGTACTCTATCCTGAAGTCGAAATCCGCAAAGAACTCCGCCCATCGTATGTGCCTCTGGTTCAGGAACCTTGCCGTGCGCCAGTACTCCAGGTTTTTATGGTCCGTGCGGACCTGCACTGTGTGTTTGGCTCCAATGAGGAAGTGCCGCCACGCCTTGAATGCTGCATGAATGGCCAGCAACTCCCTGTCCCAGATGGTGTAGTTCTGCTCTGACTTGCTGAGCTTCCTGGAGTAGAAGGCACACGGTCTCCAGTCCCCATGCGGGTCTTGCTGCAACAGTACTGCTCCCACGGCTCTGTCTGAGGCGTCCGTTTCAACCCTCATCGGTCTGCTGGGATTCACATGCAGTAGCTGCTCTTCGGACGAGAAGAGACGCTTGAGTTTCTGAAAGGACTGTTCCGCTTGCTCCGTCCAGATGAACTTCTTCTTCTTGGAGCTGAGTGTGTCGGTAATGGCTGCCGTCTGCATCGCGAACCCCTTGATGAACTTGCGGTAAAAGTTGGCGAAACCGACAAACCGTTGGACCTCCTTCCGATTGCGCGGGCTCTTCCAGTCCAACACTGAGCGAACCTTGGCGCTGTCCATGGCGAGCCCCTTGTCCGACAACTTGTAGCCCAGGAAATCTACTTCCTTCATGTCGAACTGGCACTTTTCCAGCTTGGCGTACAGCCTGTGCTCCTGCAGTCTCTGCAGAACTTCCTTGACGTCTCCCTCGTGGGCCTCCTCTGATTCTGAAAATATCAGGATGTCGTCCAGGAAGCAGACGCATTTCTTGTAGAGGAGACCCGCCAATACGTGATGCATGAAGGCTTGAAAACAGTGGGAGCCATTTTGTAATCCAAAGGGCATAACTCTGTATTCATAGGTGCCCGGGGCGTGAACATGGCAGTCTTCCATTCGTCGCCCTCCCGCATGCGAATCAGGTTGTACGCCCCTCGCAGATCCAACTTTGTGAAAACGCGTCCTTTCCTCACCGTTGCGAGCAGGTCATCTATCTTGGGCATGGGAAAGGCTGTGGGCTTGGTTTTGAGTTCAAAATTCTATAGTCCACCACAAGCCTTTTTGGGGCGTGTCCTTCTTCTTCACAAAGAATACAGGACTGCCCCCACTGCCTTCGACTCCCGGATGAAACCGCGCTTCAAGTTGAGGTCTATGAACTCCCTGAGTTCCTGCAGCTCGTCTTCGGACATGGAATACAGTTTCACGGTTGGCAGAGTCTCAACTGGCAGGAGGTCAATCTTGCAGTCATAAGACCTGTGGGGAGGTAGCTTGTCCGCTTCCTTCTCGCAGAAAACCTCCAAAAACGCTGCGTACTTGAGTGGCACTGCTTGCAGCGTGCCTAATTGTAGCTGCGGGTCATCCTCTTCCCCTTCCGGGCTAGGCAGAATGCAATGTTCCGCACAGTATGAGGAGCCGAAGGTCAGTTGTCGCTGGTACCACGCCAATGCTGGGCTGTGCCTGTGCAGCCAACTCATGCCTAATACTATAGGCGTGTCCGACAGTTGGGTGACATTGAAGCTGATGACTTCTCGGTGATTCCCAATTTGCATCACCATCGGAGGCGTTTGCTGCACCACCTGCGCCCAGCAATTCCCTGCCATCCACCGTGACAACTTTCAGAGGCAGCGTGGCTGGCAGGAGTGCTATGTTGTGCTCTTGAAGGAAATCCAGTCCTATGAAGTCTGCGTTACTACCAGAGTCAATGGTAATCGGCACTTCCATAGTGAGTCCATTGGGTAGTTGGAGCGATGCTGTGAGCTGCACCACTGGTTTGGGCGGGAGGGGGTCTGTGGGCTGCAAAATCTCTGGGGACGGCTTCATTGACTTGTCTGGTTGGGCCCCAGTGCCTCTTCCTCCAACCAGACTCTGTCGTTTCCCTGCTGTGTTTCTCTCTGCTGAGTTGCTTCTGTTACTGTTGCTGAGGCTGCAGTGTGCTTGTGGAGCCTCTGGGGACACTCTTTCGCCATGTGCTGAGCACTGTCGCAGATGTAGCACTTCCTGTTCCCTCTAGGAGGCTTCGCTTTGACTGCTCCCGGTGTTAAGGCTCTGGTTGTTGACTGAGCCCTGGCGCCTCCAATCTCCATCGGTTGCTCTCCCCCTCCTTGCGGAGGTGGGGATTGCACACGCGCTGTATCCTTGGGAAAGGGGGAGGTGCTCTCACTGGCGTACGTCCCCAACGTCCTTCTTCTCTGTTCCATGGACGTTCTTCCAGACGCACCCCAATTTGCAGCGCCCGCCGGACAACCTCCTGAGTGCTCTTTGGTCTCTCCCCCCTTGCAATCTCATCTTTCACATTTGCATTCAAGCCTTCCCAAAAAAGGTCTCTGACTGGGGCAGAATCCTTCTCCCATCCCAGCGCATGGACTAATGCAAAAAAGCGGGAATGGTACTGCCTTACACTGGCTCTGCCTTGTTTGAGCCCATGTATGTCTTTTCTGGCGATATCAATGTCTATATTTGATAAAAACACGAATCCATCGCTTTAATGAATGCATCCGCATTTTGGAGCGCCGGATCCTTATCTCTCCACAGATTGCGCAGCCACGCTTTAGCTTCCCCATGCAAATGGGACAAGATAAACCCCACCTTCTCTTGCTCATCTCTAAAGTCTTTATCCAGCAGTTCCAGCGCAAACAGCACGTCTGCTCGGAAGTTAGGGTACTGCTGCAAATTCCCATCGAAATGAGATACCAGGCTGCCTCCTCTTTTCCCCAGCCCAATCCCCTCTGATTTGGGTCCCGGTTGCCCCTGCTTAGCAAGCACTTCCAACCTGGCTTGGAGATCCCTGCAGGCGGCAGCCGCTTCCTCTTCCCTTTTCCTGGATGCGAGTACCTCCGCGTTGAGTTGTGTCACTGCATTTTGCAGGGCTGCTAGTTGCTGTTCTGTAGTCATCTTGCCTGACTTTTGTGAGCTCGCAAAGCACCAATCTTCTTCCCTCGCTGCGTCCACTCACGTTACGAGGTTTTTGGTGCAAAACTTTAGGAGATGGAGCTTACTGTCAGAGCTGGCTCCAGGTCCCAGCTCACAGAGGACCAACGCTAGCCGGCAGTAATGTGCAAAAGTCTTTATTGAAGTACAGTTTCCATTTTCAAGCCGGAGCGCCCCAGCTCTACGTCTAGGGGTTAGATCGGCGAAGCTCCATCTGAGTCTCCGCCCCCTGTACACCAGTTTAAGATTCTAGCCTTACTCCACCTCTTACGTCTCTCCTTTCTCCTCTGGGTCCTGCTACCCCCCGGGGTCCCTTCCTTCCTGGATTCTTCTGACGCTGACCCTCCTGACTCCTCCCCCTCTTTTCGGCGGGCTTTGGGACCTGGCTCCCTATCCGGGCTGCCAACTGCGCCGCCCTCCTGTACATTTGAACTTGGCGCGCGCGCCCAGCCTTCAACCTTCCTCTCGACCGTTTCCTCGCTCCCCGATGGAGGCGTGGCCAATCCTGACTCATGTCCTCCCACTGGCAGTGCGCCGCCTGATCCCGATGCCTGGGACTCCTCCCCCCTACTGCACTCTGGTGTGGACGCTGGTCCTGATTTCCAACTGCTGCTCTCTGAGTCCCCTCTGGCCCCTTCTTCCTGGGGTGTCCCCCTCGGCACCCCCTTGCTCTGACCAAGGGAGCCCCTTTCTGTGAATCTTCCGATTCGCTGGAAAGACTCAGAGACCTCGGACCGCTGTCATCGCTAACATTTCCTTCGGACTCCTCCCCCTCGCTCTCTATTTCCTCCCTTTCCTGTGCCTCTGCTCCTGAACCCCTGACAAGTATTTAATATTATGATGAATAATTCTGAAGAAAAAGGATGCTGTAAGAACAATCAGAAAAAAAATGTGTTGATTCAGATTTTAAAAATGTGTTTTATCTATGAGGAGCACTTCCAGAAGTATAATATTTAATGAAAATGTTTCAACCATGTGCTCCAAAAAAATAAGTATTTTAATGCATGAGGAGATGTCGTGGTGGTGTGATGATTTTCTGGATATGGGAGGAGCAGAAAAAGCAAGAGGGCCAGAGGGCGTCTTAGAAAATGAAGGTTGAAACGGGGTGCTGCAGAAGAGAAGAGATTAGACCCAGGGAAATGAAGGAAACTGAAAAGAGTGAGGAAGTTTGCAGCAACTTGAAAAAATCGGCTATATCCATTGGTGCAGATCTCTTAACATTATTGTGACATCACTCTGGTTATATTTATGTTGATTGTTTATTTTATAGCTGAAAGCTAATCCAGGGCAAGTAAGCATGTTATTGCAGCTGCCTGTGCTGTGGTGCCCTTTCTGGCCAATTCATTTTATTTAAAAGCATTTCTAAACCACTTACTAATATTTAAAAATCTCTATAAACAGTGTACAAAAACAAAACATTAAAACAGGAACATAAAAACAGGGACACAATCTATGGCATATTTTTAGGGAGTGTACACATTTTTTGGCCAGGGGTGGGGAGGCAGTGTTCCTCCATACGTTGTTGAACTTCGATTCCTATCAGTCCTTTGTTGCAGTTGATGGAAGTAATATAGTCCAGCAACATCTGGAGGACCTCAGGTTCCTCATCCCTGTATTAGACCTATTATTATTATTATTATTATTCAGATTTCTTCTTGGAGCAGAATAAGGCTGGGATTACATGTGTCCTAGATAGAAGGGCTCAGTGGTAGGCCACATGCTTCACATGCAGAAGATCCCAGTTTGAACCCCACAGCATCCCTAGGTAGGTCTAGTAAAGGCTCCTCTATCTAGAACCCTAGAGAACTCCAGTGCTGATAGACAATGCTCTTACTGATTAGCCTGGTTTACAAGCCACAGTAAGCAAAACAAAGACTTACTGGGACTGCACAAATGTGCCGGCTTCTGGCAAGAAGCTTGCAGCTGCTTTGTTCCTTCCTGGTCTTTCCACTCCCTAAAAATAGCCAAGGTTTGGCTGACTGTTCTGTCTGAACCTGGGCTCTCTTCTAGCTAGCCATATGACCTGTACCTTGTTTGGATGAGCCTGGTTTGGATGAAATGCTTTGCCAAATCTTTACTTAGCTCAGTGCGGTGCAAGAGTAAAAAAAGACCACAAAGGAACAAGGTGAATTTAAGCTACTCTCTGGAATCCCTACAACTTTGTGCAGTACTGGTAAACCATAGTTATCTTGATGTGTGAACCAAGCCACATGTAATGTACGGAGGAACTGCCATTTCAAAGCAAGTCAACTTCAGACCATGACCTATGAAGCCGATGGGTTTAACCAGAGTTTGTTTTAAGCCAGCATTCCTGATTCATACTATTTAAGGAGCTGACTGGGGGAGCCCAGTGCTTTGTTCTACCATTGCTTAGCATTAATTTATCAGCATGGGTAGTATAAAGCATTTTCCTGTGTTCCTTTGTGTGGCTGCTGCTTTCAAATGGTCTGTTTCAGAGACATGCGCCACACTGTGATGCAATGACAAAAGTAAAGTGTCCTAGATGTTACTGGTAGGAAGAAAGAAGCAGACACAATTTTGGAGGGACTAGAGGCCACGGATATGTTGCAGCATCTAGTTACTGTCCTGTTAGTTAAGAACAAAAACAAAAATAGTACCATATAACTTGGTCCCATTTGTTCAGCTGTTCTATCCCATCTTAGAATTGGTGTCCTCAGTGTATTAAAAATGGATAAAGGCTGAGATTTTAAATTAGAATTCTTATTTATATTTTTGGGGGCTATGCTCACCTGAGTTCAGCTGGTATTTCCAAGCTTATCTTGATAAGTTTAAGTTGACTGGATTCTCCCCTCCCACACCTTCAACAAAACTCAGGGAGTTGGCATGGTGTTTAAAGCAGCCACAATTGGTTTCTATTGCTTTGTTATCTAGAAAATGAAATGCTGTTTGCATTTGCTCTCCCCCCCACCACTCCAGATAATGGCGTTACATCCACGGAGAGTTCGATTGAAACCCTGGCTGGTAGCTCAGGTAGACAGTGGTATGTATCCCGGTCTCATATGGCTTAACAGGGTTGCAAAGCGATTTCAGATCCCTTGGAAGCATGCGACTCGGCACAGCCCTCAACATGAAGAGGAGAACACAATTTTTAAGGTAATGAAATAATTCCATTCCACTTTGGAGAGCCAGTGTAGATGAACTGGTAGTCATGGACTAGTGAAATCCAGATTCATGTTCAGCCATGCACTAACCTTGGTCAATCATTATACTGTCTCACAGAGTTATTACAGGGATAACATAGAAAAAAACCCCACCCTTATTTGCCATCCTGAGCTCCTTAGAGGAAGGGTGGGATGCAAATGTAATAAAAAGTATTACAGGTGACTTGCAGCAGCTAAGACCATTGTTTGCCAGCACCTTCTGCTTCATAGTCCAGGAGGATCACTGCTCCAAATGAATATGTGTTTGCCTCCACTTCTTCCGTTTAGAAGGCTAATGCATTTCCTAGTGTTCATTTGTTTTGTTCATGTGATAGCAGTTGCTTTAACCTGGACATCATGGCATGCCACTGTATTCTGTTATTGAATGGTGTTTTAGTTACCATGGGATCAAATTGGTCAGTTGTGCTTTTAAAGCAAATATGATCCTGTGAATCTGTGAAGAGGAGATATGCAGCACCATGAATGTGTGCTCAGATCATAATACGACTTGTACTGGGAAATACTGTGGCAAAGCAATGTGAAAGAGGTTGTTCTATTTATATCATTCATATTTCAAGTACTTGTGGGATAGAGAGATGCCTCGATAGTTTCCGCAATCAGTTCTGTCACCTTTTTTAAAGAGATTGATAATTTTGGCGTAATGCTGGTGGTCAACAGAAAAGGTTTAAAGACTGTCTCAAGGCAAATCTAAAAAAATGTAGTATAAACACCGACAACTGGGAAACACTGGCCTGTGAGCACTCCAGTTGGAGAACAGCCTTTACCAAAGGTGTCATGGACTTTGAAGACACTCGAACTCAGGATGCAAGGGAGAAATGTGCTAAGAGGAAGGCATGCTTGGCAAATCCACACCGTGATCAACTCCCGCCCGGGAACCAATGTCCCCACTGTGGAAGGATGTGTGGGTCCAGAATTGGCCTCCACAGTCACTTACGGACTCATTGTTAAAACCGTGTTTCTGGAAGACAATCTTACTTGGCTACGACTGATCGCCAAAGAAGAAGAAGAAGACTTGTGGGATACAGCTTCCTCCCTCCCAATCAGATGCTTTTGCCTTATCATCACTCTGTGTACTCTGTGCTCCTGCAGAGTTGATTTTCCTGTCCTTTATCTGGTTGTTGACTGTTTCTCTTTGAAGGTAGCTCTTTAGTGGCTTCCCTTCTGAGAATCAAGGTTCTAGTTATCTACTTCTTAAGTCTTCCTCTCTTCTCAAGTTAAGAGTCCTGTAGCATGCCAGCTGAGTCCCGTAAACCTGCATAGACTTGCACTGCACAAGGCTCTTCTAGTTTATTGCTGTTGCTTTTTGACCTTGTTCTGATGAACTGTTTATATGTTGGTTCTCAGATTGAACTGAATTTGATGCAGAAATTATTTTAGATCATTTTATACGTTCTGGTAGCAAACTCCTAGGCATTTTTCAATGGCTACTATTTTAAGGAGAATTTTACAAGCTTTCTGTGTTAAAAGATTTTGTTGGAAGATTCTTGAGCAAAGCCATGCTTTTGTGGTGGCTCTCTACCTGTGAAATGCTCTTCCTGTGGAGGCTCGCCTGGCACCTTCCTTACATATTTTTAGGCACCAGACAAAAGCATTCCTCTTCTCTCAGGCTAAGTAAACAATCTATGGCCTTCTATATGAGAGGGTTGTTTGTTACTCTGTTATGTATTTTTTTGTTTTTAGATTGTAAACCGCCCTGTGATCCTCAGATGAAGGGTGGTATAGAAAATTAACGAATAATGTTACCAGGATAAATCTGGGACCTTAATCCCATATACAAACAAACAAACAAACAAACAAATAAATAAGAGAGAGCCTGGTTTGCCATTAGGTTGGGTTCCTTTAGACACAATTGGGCGGCCTCTATTGGAATGGTCTGTCATACCATGCATAAAAATTGGTTTGGATAATCCTAAAATGATTTGTGCTGCTTTTATCTGTTTGTGTTGGGGAAGGGAAAAACAGTGCCAGTCATGTCTGGCTGACTAGCTGCTGCACTAAGTATTTACTGCCTAGACTTATGTGATAAATGCAAGTTTGTTTGGTAGCATGATTCAACATTAGCTGGCATGATGACAGTACTTAACTGAGCATGATGTACTTTGCTCCCAGGCCTGGGCTGTGGAAACAGGAAAGTATCAGGAAGGAGTTGATGATCCTGACCCTGCGAAATGGAAAGCCCAGCTCCGGTGTGCTCTCAATAAAAGCCGGGAATTCAACCTGATGTACGATGGCACCAAAGAGGTGCCAATGAATCCTATTAAAATTTATGAAGTGTGTGACATTCCACAATCCCAGGGAGCAATAATTAATCCAGGTGAGATGCACAGTGACTCTGTTGGTTTTTAAGGAAGTCTGGTAACAGGAAGTCTTCTATATGCCATGATGTTATGTTGTTAGTGACTCCTGCTGGGTAACTCGTTTTTAATTGAGTAAGCATTTCACCTTCTCATTTGTGCAAGGTAACTAACACAAAGTGAACTGGAGGTGACAGTTCTGCCTAGTCAAGGTTGCTTTCTGCTCACCCACAAATTCAACACAGGGATGTTATTAATTGTTCAGCTTTCTGTTTTGCTTTTAATCAAGTCTAAAAGAGAAAAGATTTCAGGGGAAAGCTTTGAAGATCAGGTGCATGCTACTAAAAGCCAGAAGCAAGAGGGAAAAAGGCATGGTGTCTGGGCTTAACGGCTTTCAGTTCTTCATGGTCTTCCTTTCCCTTGTTCCCTCTTTTGCACATTGTCCCTAAGCAGGTATTCTAATAAGATGGCAGTCTTTAAAATTCAATTCTTCCAGAAATGAGTGTTTCATTAAATGAAATTCACTGGAAATTTCTCCTGCATGTTTACCATTGAAAGAAATGGACCTCACTGGGCACATGTATGTGTACCTGGTAGAAACATTTTTTGGACTTAGCTGTTGGATGCAGAAGGCTAGCAGGTTCTGGCCCTCTGTGCACCTTTGTTCAAACCAGCTGAGAGGTTGGATGAGGCCGGTTGTGGGATTCTGGTTGGATAGTACAAGGGCTGGGAGAGAGTTGCTTCATGCTATCATGTCTTCCATGCATAAGCTGAGAAGCATGAAAAGACTATTGGCTCTGGAGCTATGAAGCAAACCAAATAGTACTTGGAATAAAAATCCCCAGGAAAGAGATGTTTGTACACAGGGCTACTAGTAGAATTTTTCTGTGTAACTTCTGTGGGTCACACAAATGTCCATTCCACTTCTTTATTCTCTTCATTTGATAAAATTCCATATTACTTGCTAATTCTCCAACTGCACTTTTCCTACAGGTTCTACTGGTTCCGCTCCATGGGATGAGAAGGATAATGAGCTTGATGATGAAGATGAGGATGAATTAAACCAGCCTCAATCTCATGTAGCTATTCAGGATACCTTTCCATTTCTAAATATCAATGGTTAGTAGATAGACCCTGGCACAGAGTGCACATCAAACCCTATCGTTTAAATGGCATTTTCCTCTTCATTATTACAATATGAAACAACCATGCTTTCAGAAAACAGTCTTTTAAAAATCTCTGGATTGCAGCTCGGCTAGCAGTTGCTTGGCCAGTACGCTGCAGAAAATGGCAAAAGAAGAAAGGTAAAGTCTGCACTATATGAGAAGTACGAGATTAGTCTGAACTGAAATATTCCTATTGTTCTGTGTCGATATGTTCATACACATGCTGTCCTAAAGCTAGCTAGGTGTGAAGGAAAAGGCCATTCCTTTGAAATCTGTGCTGCTGTCATGGGTTGAACTGGGCCCTTGAGAGTTGTGAGGCCGACTGGGGCAGGGTGTGGAGAGATATTTGTGCCTTCCCCTTTGGTTCCACTGATGCTGTTCCAAGTGGGGCAACAGGCTGTTGCAGCGGCTCCCAACAAAATATTAAAAATAGAATCAAACATTAAAAACTTCCCTAAACAGGGCTGCCTTCAGATGTCTTCTAAAAGTCAGATAGTGTTGTTTATTTCCTTGACATCTGATGAGAGATCATTCCACAGGGCTGGTGCCACTACTGAGAAGGCCCTCTGCCTGGTTCCCTGTAACCTAACTTCTCACAGGGAGGGAACCGCCAGAAGACCCTCAGCACTGGACCTCAGTGTCAGAGCTGAACAATGGGGGTGGAGTTGCTCCTTCAGGTATACTGGGCCGAGGCTGTTTAGGGTTTTAAGGGTCAACACTAACACTTTGAATTGTGCTCAGAAACGTACTGGGAGCCAATATAGGTCTTTCAGGATCGGTGTTGTATGGTCTCGTCAGCCACGCCCAGTCACCAATCTGGCTGCCGCATTCTGGATTAGTTGTAGTTTCCGGTCACCTTCAAAGGTAGCACCACATAGAGCTCATTGCAGTAGTCCAAGCGGGAGATAACTAGAGCATGCACCACTCTGGCGAGACAGTCTGTGGGCAGGTAGAGTCTCAGCCTGCGTACCAGATGGAGCTGGTAAACAGCTGCCCTGGACACAGAATTGACCTGCGCCTCCATGGACAGCTGCGAGTCCAAAATTACTCCCAGGCTGCGTACCTGGTCCTTCAGGGGCACAGTTACCCCATTCAGGACCAGGAGTCCGCCACACCAGCCCACCCCTGTGCCCAAAAAACAGTATTTCTGTCTTGTCAGGATTCAACCTCAGACTGTTGGGCACTATGCCAAGACCTCACAAGTCACTGTGACAGTCACTTAGCTAGCATTCTAATAAGAGGGTTCATTCCCACAGTGTAGCAAGAGCAGACACACCTTTTTGCCCAGTGTGTAGCCTATAATGATGATGCAGCTTTGTAAGTCTGTTCCTTGGAGTGTGGTTCTGGTTTAACAGGTTTTAACAGTAATATTGTCTCAGTAGACACATTTGCATAAATTTCCCATGAACCAGACCTTGTTTAAAGTTATATTTTGATGGTGATGTGTTTTGAAATTATATTACTAATCCACAAATGGTGTTTATTATGGTGCCTTTTATAGTATACACTTTTCATTCAATGAACCTTTTTAAAATGTTTATTTTCTCTTGCAATCTAATTGTCTGTCTGGTGCATCTCTACCAATATTAATTCTTTGATCTCATAATGGGGTACATATTTTACTATCTAGTAAACTGTTCAGTTATAAGTCATAGGCGAGTTCACTTATTATTGCATAGGGGGGAGTTTTCCTTCAGTAAGTTTGCAAAGGGCCTAGAGACTGATCTTTCTTTTTCTGTGTACTCTTTGAAAGACATTTTAGGTCAAGTTGGGACATGTTGGCTGTGATGTTAGAATTACACTGGAGAAATCTGAGGGCATTGACCATTGTGTTCAGTAAAGGAAGTTGCTTCTGATTAACCTTGCCAATTATTTCCAAGATCCTATACTTTTTACAGCAGGAATGCCAGGCATAAGTTTTTGAGTATATTTTGTACAGAAAGATGGGATAAATTATTAAGTGAGATAACTCCTGTGGCCATATCAGGACTTTAGGGGGTCCCAATGTGTCTTCCAGCAGTTCTTCCATGCTCCATACATTATTAAATTAACTTCAGAACTGGGAAGATGGTGTCTTTCCCAGGCAAAGCACTAACCACTCAGAGCTGCTGTTGGATTCCACAGCAGTTGGTAGAATCCAACATTGTGCAAATGGCTTTCTGCTTGCGTAGTGGGACTTCACCTTCCTCTCCCTGCACCCCCAAATGTGCTCTGTAGGATCCAGGGGGCTGCACTGGAGAGGATTAGGTTATATCTCCTTTCCTATGTATTGTTATAAGTATTACATTTTTTGTTACGTTCATATTATAAATGGTTAAACATAGGTAACTTACCCAATCTGCAGGGGGCTTTTTTAATTTTCCCAGTGCTAATGTCTAATTGAGGCAAATTGATAGTTCAGTGTTAAGGTCAGTTGGAATTGGCAGTTTTAGTGAACATTTATAGCCTGGCCCTAGGGCATCTGCTGGATAGGGGATTTTGTTCTCCAGTCCTTTTGACTGTGACACGCTTGCTTTATAAATGCAACTGGGGGGAAAGGAGGAAGAGCTGGTGGTTCTGCCCAATTTAATTTATAAACCGAGTTCCTAGAGATCCTCACTCCAGTTTACAGAAGTATGAGCCATGGATCCCCACCCACCCTTTCTTGGCATAGCAGTTGCACCATCTTGATCACCAGTGCTTTTCAAGTCATTTGTTAAAAACCTGGGAAATGAACTGTCTAGAGTGGTCTTCAACTCATGGGCTGGGACCCATTGCTGGGTCACAGTTTGACCTGGCGTGCAGCAGCACAACCACCATTCAAATGTATGGCAAAAAATTAAGTGGACCCCCAATTGCATGTGTGGGCTAAAGGTGAAGCCTTGGTTGGAAAAGATTGAAGCCTATTGATCGAGAGCGTACATTTAGTGCTGATATCATGTCATTACTGTGCTTGGAGCTAGATAATGCAAGCTGCATTCTTGCTTCTTACCAAGATATTACTTACTGGGGGGGGGGGGGGAGCTGTAACCACTGGGGTTCCTTTGCTGATTGAAGGTACTTGATCCAGTGGAGGCTTCCAGCAGCAGAACAAAGAACACTCTTTCTGTTGATTCTTCCCTTCTCCTGCAACTCCTTTGACCACCAGCTCCAAACTGCTTCAGAGGGTTGTGGGCCCTTTTAGAGCAGTGTGGGAGGTGCTGCAGAGGGAGTCGGAATGAACAAAAGTTGCCTCCCTTTCCATTCAACTGATGGAAATCTCTGGACACAAGCCAGAGTATCCAAGCTTTCAAGTTCTATTTTGTCAGACTGAATAAAAAGGAAGATAAATTACCATTGGTAGGTTGAATTCTTAGCCACATAAAGTAGTTGAGCTATGCTTGCCATTCCAGTATGAGAAGTGTCCAAGTGACATCTTGAACTGTAATTTTTAAAATGTCAGCAGTCCCTCAGGAAATAATAATAATAATAATTTATTTATACCCCACCCATCTGGCCGAGTTTCCCCAGCCACTCTGGGCAGCTCCCAATCGAGTGTTAAAAACAATACAGCATTAAATATTTAAAACTTCCCTAAACAGGGCTGCCTTCAGGTGTCTTTTAAAGATAAGATAGCTGCTTACAGTGGTGCCCCGCAAGACGAATGCCTCGCAAGACGGAAAACTCGCTAGACGAAAGAGTTTTCCGTTTTGGAGGTGCCTCGCAAAACGAATCTGCTATGGGCTTGCTTCGCAAGACGAAAATGTCTTGCGAGTTCCTGGTTTTTTTTTTTCCTTTCCCCCCTCTTTTTCTAAGTCACTAAGCCGCTTATCTGCTTATCCGATAAACTGATAAGCTGCTAAAAGCCGTTAAAAGCCGCTAATAGCGCTAATAGCGCTAATCCGCTAATCCCATCAATGGGCTTGCTTCGCAAGACGAAAAAACCGCTAGACGAAGAGACTCCCAGAACGGATTCTTTACATCTGATGGGAGTGTGTTCCACAGGGCGGGTGCCGCTACCAAGAAGGCCCTCTGTCTGGTTCCCTGTAACCTCACTTCTTGGAATGAGGGAACCACCAGAAGGCCCTCGGCGCTGGAGCTCAGTGTCCGGGCTGAATGATGGGGGTGGAGACGCTCCTTCAGGTATACAGGACCGAGGCCATTTAGGGCTTTAAAGGTCAGCACCAACACTTTGAATTGTGCTCGGAAACGTACTGGGAGCCAATGCAGATCTCTCAGGATCGGTGTTGTGTGGTCCCGGCGGCCACTCCCAGTCACCAGTCTAGCTTACATAAAATGTACTACTTATGCTTAGATTCCCCAATGGCACCCACCAGTGTGGAGACCTGCAGCCCTGAAGCTGCATGGCCAAAGAATGAACCTGAAGACATCGAGATGCCTATGCCTCCTCCGGTTATGCCCCATGATATGTTCAGCTCTCCTGAAGTCTGGATTAATTCTCTTCCAAGTAAGTCTTTTTGTTGACTATGTCGCTAGATACATCTAGATTGTTGTGTGCATGTAAAGTCCACATAGGGAATATACTACGTATTGCAAAAACATGCTGAACGTGCACCGTTTCCCCCCTGCAGTTATTTCTGTTTAGACTGGTGTAGCCCAGACAGCCTTCTGTGTCTGAAAATGTAATGTACTCATTGACATCAGCAGATGAACAAAAGAAACCCAGCTGGAAACTGCTGTTGAATTTGGAATAGTGTGTGTCAGAAGTAACTTCTTACACTAGAAGCTTGTGTAAGAAGAAGCTTGAGGTGGTAGTGATCAGCCATACCAGCTGATAAGTTTGTGTCTACTGATCAGTGCTGCATTCGTGTGAAGAGCAAGCCTCTCTGTGATAGATTGAAAATGAAGTACTGCTGCTGTTATTTGGTGTTATCTTGTGATTACCCTGACTTTGGGAGTTGGCTCTTGGTTTCCTTGGCACTTGTAAGGAAGACTAATAATTCTGCCCCTATTCTGTGCAAATTTCATTCAGCCCTAAAAAAGAGCCATGATAACCGGAAGAATAAGAAATCAAGATAACAAACTTTTTATAAAAGAGTGGAAATGGTTTATTGAATATTTACAGATAAATTGCAAACAGATAAAAACACTGGCAGGATTATTGTAATAACCTGCAGCTTCATAAGAGTTTATATTTAAAGTAGATAATTAAATGAGCAAATTAAATGAATTTGGATATGCAGAAGATATTAAAAAATAAATTTAAGGAACCGCAGAAAGAGGGGGAAGGAAGTCAAACTTTGAAATGTTAAAATGATTGTAAAATTAATGAAATGTATACATTTGAAAAGTATAAATAAAAACTTTTTTTTTTAAAAAAAGTGCTATGATAGACAATGCAGGCTGTTGGAATTATGGATCCTGTTGCAGTGTCTGATATTCTAACAATATATCCTTCTAATCAAGTGACAGACCTTGAAATCAAGTTTGAGTATCGAGGCAAAGAGTTTGGGCCAACAATGACTGTGAGCAATCCCCAGGGCTGCCGACTTTTCTATGGAGAACTGGGTCCAATGCCAGATCAAGAAGAACTCTTTGGTCCTATCAATTTGGAGCAAGTAAAGTTTCCAGGACCGGAACAGATCACCAATGAAAAGCAAAAGCTCTTCACAAGCCGTCTGCTTGATGTCATGGACAGGGGGGCTGATCCTGGAAGTCAGTGGCCATGCTATTTATGCTATAAGGCTTTGCCAGTGCAAAGTGTATTGGTCTGGACCGTGCGCACCTTCTGGCACCACACCAAACTTGATTGAAAGACAAAAAAAAGTCAAGGTGTTCTGCTTGGAAACATTCTTGAGTGGTGAGTAATTATAATGCTCTTGGTTCACCATCACAGAGTAGCCAATATGTTCTTTTTAATCCCTGAAACATTTTGCATACCTGATTATGGTACTGCAGCCCATTGGGATTGGGTCCCAACCAGTTAAGTCACCTGGGGCTGTGTCTGGTGTTACTGGTATGGTGCAGATAGCAATTTGTGCAGAACTTGCTGGGCTCACAATGTGCACCATATAGTGTTTGCATGCAGGCATTAGTGAATGGGCATTGGTTCGATGTTTGTTGTGCTCTAACATAGCTGGTTGAAGAGAAGCAATTCTCCCTTTTTCCTTTATTTTTTTGCCCCAAATCAATCACCAGAAGGCATAGGTGTGGTTGAAGTTCTCACCTATGGTCAGTGAAGTGGAATCCCTTATATTTGTTATAGTATACAGGGTCAAAGGGAAAACAGCATTGATAGCTAATATCATTATGGCATCTCTAGACAAAAAGATTATGGGAAAGAAGATAGAAAAGAGAGTAGGGGAATTGGGTTTTGAACTAGAAGAGGCAATATGTGGGAAATAGTGTTGCATCCAATATGTGGGAAATAGTGTTGTATATCACAAGCTTTGCTTTCCCTCCCGCTTAGAACTGATTGCTCATCAGAAAGGACAGATTGCTAAACAACCCCCATTTGAGATCTACTTTTGTTTTGGAGAAGAATGGCCAGATGGAAAATCCAAAGACAGGAAACTGATTGTTGTTCAGGTAAGAGAACAATGAATTGCTAAGGAGCGTTAATTGTCAGAACTTACTGTGAGAACATTTAGTTGACTCCTAGTTTTCACAATATATAACTATGTGCCATTTTATAACCCAGAAACTTTAATTCAGCAGCCTATGCAAATGTGCACATTAGCATGCATGGACAATGCAAAGAACAATGTGTGACGCTAGAGCCCTAGCCACTGGAAGTCCATTGTCTACAAACATTTAAGACTTGGGGCAGCCTCGATATTTGAAAGCTGGGGTTCTTATAGTGTTGAACCACTGTACTGATACCACTTTCAGCACTTGTGCATTCATCCACAACACAGACACACTTATTTGCAATATTTATAGACCGCCTTTCCAATGAAAAGGTTTTACAGCACTTTAAAATACAAATAAAAACCATTCATACGAAACAGGGGGAAATATAACTGAAGTAAAACTACCTAAAACTACCTAAAAGCATAGTCTTTCCACTAATGCCTGAACACCCAAGAGAATAAAAAAATATCAGGGAAGAGAATGTGGATGTCCTCTGGGAGAGCCACATGGCAACTTGGAACATCTGTTTAAATAGTCTCGGTCTGATAGATAACAACTTTGCCTTCCTCAAAGAAAGATCTTGAGGTCGGAACTCATGAGTATGGCCCTGTGGGGTGTGTATCTGTATGCGTTTGGGAGAAGGCACTCCTTGAGTTGCTTAGGACAAGACAAAACCACCAAAAACTGGCACCTCTGAATTCTGCCCTGAAACAAACTCGTTTCAATGTAGGTGTTATGTAATAGGCGTGATGTGTTTGTGCCAACCGATCCATGTCAGTACAGTGGCACCTCTGATGACGAACTTAATTTGTTCTGGAGGTCCGTTCTTAACCTGAGGTACCACTATAGCTAATGGGGCCTCCCGCCGCCACCGCGCGATTTCCATTCTCATCCTGGGGCAAAGTTCTTAACCCGAGGTACTACTTCTGGGTTAGCAGAGTATGTAACCCAAAGCGTTTGTAACCTGAGGTGTTTGTAGCCCGAGGTACCACTGTAGATGGCCAATGACCATAGGTGCCACCTGAGAATCTAGGAGTAATGACAGGTCCAGGAGCACCCCCAGGCTAGAACCTGCCCATGAAGGGACAGTGATTCCATCAGTGATAGGCATGTTCTTAGCTAACAGGTCAACTGGGTCCCCAGCTACCATAAGAATAATCAAATAAGTTTGTTGAGTTTGTGCAGTAGTTCATAATACTGCTCTTTCAACTTGGCTGCATTAGCATCCTATCTGTCTGCAACCAATTCTACTTGAAAGGCAGTGCAGACCACATGGGCCAAATGTTTTATCTGAGGCCTGGATTTTTACAGATGATTGGAGCTAACGTCCTGAATTGGTAGGCATTTCAGAATAGTTAGCAGTACATCTACTCTGCTCGCATTGTGAGAACATATGTTCTTTTATTTATCTTACATCCTTATCCTATCTTTCTTCTATCGTGACTAATAATGACTCAAAATGAAAATGAATGCAAGAGTGAAAATTTTTGTGTGTGTTGCTGTTACACCTTCTACTTGAGCTTTTAGCTTATTCTTTTCGGATGCAATTGAAAATCCCATCTGGATTGCCGCTGCATAATTTCTTTCCAAACAGGTAATTCCAGTTGTAGCTCGCATAATCTATGAGATGTTCTCCGGTGACTTCACCCGCTCCTTTGACAGTGGCAGTGTACGGCTTGAGATTTCTACCCCTGATATCAAGGACAACATAGTTGCTCAGCTGAAGCAACTCTACCGCCTCTTGCAAAATCATAATGAAGGCTGGCCAATGCAGCCACCAAGCATGGAGATGGCCCCGCCACTTGCAGCACAGTGATGACCTGGTTTTACCTAAATGAGGAATTAGCTGGATTAATGGATTGTGTGTTTATATTTCAATTAATTTTAAATGTATTTTCAGTAAGTGCAACAGGAATGTATTATGTACAACATAATCTGTTTTAAATTTATACTTTGCAAAAACTGCTCTGGATTAATGCATGTAGACAAGAACATTTGTCTATCCTTTTTCTCTTCAATTAATGTAAATATATCAAATGGCATTTAATTTGTGTGTTAAATGTTACACACAGTTTTCTCTGCATATGTGATCAGCGTTCAAGTGCTCTTTTTAAAAAGTAGTTTCACGAGGCTAACAAAAACACTTTCACCCTAGTTTTCTCTCACCCACTGGCTTGATAACACAGTCAAATTTATTACATAAATTGCATGTTTCTGTATATTTTTATATATAAAAAATATCCAGTGCTGTTGGCACACATGTGAAATGTTAGAATGAATGCAAAACATTTTTTTAGTGGCCGTAATTCTAACTGTTCAGTAAAACTGCTTTGCAAAGTAGTAGTAGATTGAGAAGTTATCTGGATTTTCCACTGCTATTTGATAGTATTTCCTGTCTGTATACACTACTGATGAATAGTGCAAAATAATGACTTAAGTCTTAAAAGGCATAGTTCTTATTAAAGTGACTTTACAATCAGTTGAGCCTGATCTTACAATAAATGAAGTACAGCTAAGGTATTCAGATGATAATAAATTGTTAACTGGAAATCCAAGAAGCTGCTTTTATTGTAGTTCCACGTTGCATGCTACAGCTCAGTACAGCGACCGGTGGCGCCTTCTGTTGGACTAATCCTTGCTAACTTGGATTTGTCCAAAAAGTCTCCATTGTTTGTAAGTATATCAGATTGCTAGAAGATAGGGAAAGCACCAAAGCCCTCTGCTTGCTCTGTGCAGGACCTGTTTGACATAGATGTAAGAAGACTGTGGAACCTAGGAAATTTGAATACTGTTTGAGATGTAATATAGCTGGCTTTAAATATGACAGTGCTTTCGATGCTAAGCTTTGTTCTGAACTGGTTAAATGGCTGCATTTTTGCGTGTTTCTTTCCTCTGCTGGAAAATGCCTTAAAATGTCCCATAATAAAGTTTCTGGTTAACTATAACGTTTTCATGTCTCTTTTACTAGCAAGAGTTAAGTATGTTTAACTTGCACATCCAAGAAAACTAGCACTCAGCTCTGTCCTACGTAGCATTTTGTTTGAAACATCTTGAATTGAATGGAAGGAAAATACCTTGTGCACTGCAAATGTTTTCCTATGGTGGAATTCAGTGCTATGCTATTACAGACATTCCATCTGCGCAAGAATTTCAGCTTGCCAGATGGATTGATCCCCCTTAATGTGTTGTTCTAGGGGTTCTCCCAGCCCTCTGAGCCAATTGCAGGAGACGCATGGAGAGTGTGAAGATTTTTAATTTGTGCGCAATTCTGGACGAAATGCCGTTATTTTGTGGTGGAAACAAGGGAATGTAGAACTGTGGTTGGCATTTAAATATCTGTGTTGGTGCAAGGATGCAACAGGGCTCCCATCCTCCCCTGTGTACCCCACACCATCCCCAAAGCTACCCTAAAGGGTCAGAAGAATGTTTGGTTGCGCAGGAAAAAAATCCTTGCACTGACATACTGTTCTCCGTAGTGCTACTTTGTAATTTTTTCTTGATTTTAGGGTGTTATCTTTTCGTAAACCACTTTTGAGTTCTTTTACAATAAATTTTATAAAATAAATACTTGGAATACAACCCTAAAACTATGCTATACTAATTACTTTAGGAGAGAGAAGGTGAAGGGGTGGATTACCAGCTTAAAGCTGCTTTGCTGGTATGATGCTATAGCAACAAAAAAAATGCTTCAAAAAAGGCTATGGTTAAATGTTTGGTTTCAGCCCTGCAATCAGGAGAGCTGGGTGAGTGGGGGAACACTGTCCATAGAGGGCATAAGAAATGCTTCTTAACATTATAGTAGTGCTATTTTAATAGCTATTGAATGACTTCATATTTGCTCTAAATTGAATAAATATATATTTTTAAATATGAGGCCTGAAGTGCTCCCCTTATGTGATGGCAGTAATCTAGTTCAACTTGCTGCAATGCTGGAATCTCAGCTAAAGCATCCATGACAGATGGCCATCCTGCTTAACATTGTATGTCTTTTTAAATGTGTTTGTGGGAACGGGCATTATTTACTGGTTGTTTTTTGGTTTTGTTTTATTCTGCATTTTGTCTTCTCATCTTGTATTTTTCTGTTGTGAATTGCCCCTGGGTCAAAGGCATTATTATTATTATTATTATTATTATTGACTAGCCCACTGCTTGTGAAATGAAGAAATGAGCCCCACTGCATTCAATGAGACGTAGTTCCAAGTACATCTGCATAAGTTTGCAGCCTTAAAAGTCGTAGATGTGGGGCAGATGGCCTTAGTTAAGCCACTATTATCTCTATTATTCTTCGCCGCATCAAGCAGTTGGTCTCTTACCTTTCCCGCCCCGACCTGGCCACAGTGATCCATGCGACGGTCATCTCCAGGCTTGACTACTGTAATTCGCTCTACGCGGGGCTGCCCTTGAAGCTGTCCCAGAAACTCCAGCGGGTGCAGAATGCTGCAGTGAGGCTCCCTGCCATGGGAGCATATTTACCCAGTGCTTTTCAAACTGCACTGGCTCCCGGTGGAGTACAGGGTCAGATTTAAGGTGCTGCTTTTGACCTTTAAAGCCCTTCACGGCCTAGGACCCTCGTACCTACGGGACCGCCTCTCCCGGTATGCCCCACGGAGAGCCTCAAGGTCCATAAATAGCAACACCCTAGTGGTCCCGGGCCCTAAGGAAGTTAGATTGGCTTCAACCAGAGCCAGGGCCTTTTCAACTCTGGCTCCGGCCTGGTGGACGCTCTGCCTCATGAGACCAGGGCCCTGCAGGATCTGATTTCTTTCCGCAGGGCCTGTAAGATAGAGTTGTTCCGCCTGGCCTTTGGCTTGGAGCCAATTTGATTCCCTCCCTCTCTTTCTTTTTTCTTTTCCTTCTCCTCCTGCAAGGAGGCTACATTTTAATATTTTAATGTTTCAATATTTTAATGTTGTGTTTTAATTTTGTTTTTAAGTTGTAATCATTCAACTTGTTTTTATTATTGCTTGTAAGCCGCTCTGAGCCCAGCCTTGGCTGGGGAGGGCGGGGTATAAATAAAAATTATTATTATTATTATTATTATTATTATTATTATTATTCTCAACTTAAGTTTCCTGTCTGCAATCTGGGACGACTCACTACTGGCCTTGCCTTATGGGGCTGCTGTAAGGTGATGTGTGCGAAAGTCTTTGAACACACTGACAATACTGTACTTGGTAAATGCTGGAAGAGAAACCATGCAGAAACCTGAGAGCCTGCGAGCGAGAACTTAGCCGCCTCTCCGCCCTATACCAAAGAAACGCAAAAGGTAGATAACGTTTCATTTCCTAGACACCAAGGCGATGAAGAAGATCAGCCTGTCCCCAAGCAATTCTAGTGGAACTTGCAGCAGCCATAAAAAGGGCTTGTTGCAGCGGTGAGAAAACCGGTCCTCTACTACCGCAGTTGCTGCCGGACTCCGACTCCCATCATCCCCAGCCACGCCCAGGATGATGGGAGTTGCAGTCCAGCAACACTTCGGAGGCCACGTTTCCCATTCAGGGAGAGCGACTCGCACGCCCCGAGCCAACCTTCCCAGGTGGAGCCTGCCGGCAGAAGCTCGCCTTGGCTTCTCCTAACTCCCGACTGGCCGGATCTGCACAGCTGGGCGTCTCCTGCTTGCCGCCGGACTCGACCCGGGCAGGTCCGCGAGACCGGCGCTCTGCACATGCCCCGGCAGCGCGTCGACCCGCGGGATGCTGCCTCTTTAAGAGCCGCCGCCTACGCGGACGGTGCCCCTTGCCGCGAACTCAGCGTCCGCCTCCTCCGCTCAGGCGAGGGAAGCGGAAACGCCGCCCGCTCGCCCGGCAGGGCGCATGCTCGGGCTGGAACGGGGCGAGAGGTGAGTGAGGCGCGTGCAGAGGGCGGAGAGGCGAGAGCCCGGGAGAAGCAGTTGGCCGGCTGCCCGGCGTCGCTTCATGTTCCGGTAGAGGATCCTCCTGTGCACCTGAACTCCGACCCCGGTTGCTCAGGGAACCGAAGGAGATGCAGCATCCCTGTGCAGATAACACGCATAGCCGGATGCTTCATTAACACACGCATTCACACATGCACACTCCCACCTAGCGGGAAGGGGATGCCGGGCGGGGAAGCACGTTCTGATAAGAGCCCCGAATTTCAGAATTAAGAAATTACCTTCAGGCGTGGTCGCGACTTCAAATTCTTGTAGCTCTTCTCCTTTGCTACAGAAGTTTTATCTTTGGAGATTGCTGGCAAGTTCAACCCCAAGAAGGGGCTGCTTAATTCTGAAAGGCGTTGGGTCTAATAAAATGCTTTGGCTTAATGCACAAGGAGACAAAGTCATGCATTGCAATTGGGCTGCTGCTAGGGCATGCCTCTCTCTAGCTGCGGCTTCTCCTCCCAGGAAACTTTAAAAATTAGAATATAATAGGGCATTAGTGTTGGGACGCGGGTGGCGCTGTGGGTAAAACCTCAGTGCCTAGGACTTGCCGAACATGGTTCGAATCCCTGCGGCGGGGTGAGCTCCCGTCTTTCCGTCCCAGCTCCTGCCCACCTAGCAGTTCAAAAGCACCCCTAAGTGCAAGTAGATAAATAGCGGGAAGGTAAACGGCATTTCCGTGTGCTGCGCTGGTGCTGGCTCGCCAGAGCAGCTTCGTCACGCTGGCCACGTGACCCGGAAGTGTCTCCGGACAGCGCTGGCTCCCGGCCTCTTAAGTGAGATGAGCGTACAACCCTAGAGTCGGACACGACTGGCCCGTACGGGCAGGGGTACCTTTACCTTACCTTTACCTAGGGCATTAGAACTGTAGAATTGGAAGGGACCACAAGGTTCATATACTTTAATAATAACAATAATAATATTTGTATGCTGTCCATCTGCTGGCTTGCCACAGCTGCTCTGGGTGGCTCTCAACAGAATATAACACGATAAAACACCAAACATTAAAAACTTCCCTAAAGAATCTAGTCCAACCCCCTGCAACGCAGGAATCTTTAACCCAGTGCGGGACTCGAACCCATGACCTGGAGATTAAGAGTCTCATGCTCCAGCGACTAAGCCATCCAGCCTGTAAAAACACTATTTAAGTGTTTCAGAAGTACAGACTTGAACGACCGGGACCCTGTGATCATCTGAGGCCCTTCTTCGTAGCATTCCCCATTAGAGGTCTGGAGGGCGGCAGCAAGAGAAGAGGCATTTGCTGCGGTGGCTTCCTACTTGCAGAATGCTCTCCCCAGGAGGTTAATCTGGTGCCTTAGTTACATAACTTTAGGTGCTAAGCAAAAACATTGCTCTTCTCGCAGGCCTTTGGCTAACTAAACAATCTATGGCCTGTTGAACTGTGTGTGTGGCAGGGGGTATTGTTTTTGTTACTATGTGCTTTTGTGTTTTGATACTACCCTGTGATCCTCATATGAATGGCAGTACAATAGTACCTCGGGTTAAGTACTTAATTCGTTCCGGAGGTCTGTACTTAACCTGAAGCACCACTTTAGCTAATGGGGCCTCCTGCTGCCCCCACGCCGCCGGAGCACTATTTCTGTTCTCATCCTGAAGCAAAGTTCTTAACCTGAAGCACTATTTCTGGGTTAGCGGAGTGTGTAACCTGAAGCGTATGTAACCTGAAGCATATGTAACCCGAGGTACCACTGTAAAGTTAAAAGATCTAGTTAAAAAAACAAATGGAAGTTCATGTGCCCTGTCCTGTTTATATATGTTATGTGCACTAATTTAATTGTTTCCCCAAGTCCTTATCAACTCTTGAATAGCTAACAATAGTGGATGTGGCATACTTATCTCTTCCATCGCTGAGACTCCTGACCTCATATTAACAAGAGTCTCTACCCTGCCTTCCCTCCGTCTGTGTCACATGCATATATAATACACACAGACGGAGGTTAATATTTAACGTTTAATGAAAATGCTCTAGGAAAGCTTGTTGGTCTTTCAGGCGCCACCACACATTTTTTTGCAGGGGAAGTGAACCTAGAAAATTCAGGTTTTAATGGTGAGATGCCTGTCTAGGTGGTTGATCTTAGGATGAAGTGGTAAATATTTTTATTGGTTGTTGGAAGGTGGGCTGTTTTGCTAGTCCTTGGTTCTGAAGTGGCGCAGAGAGCCTGCGGATGTGGTTTAGTCCTCAATCCCTTTTATAGCCCTTGTTACAGCAAGGCTGATTGATCGGTTTTCATTTTTGTAATACCCATTTTCCACTTCCAAGATGCAACTACTGTGGCTTAAATGAGGCCACATGCTCATGAAGCCTGAGTTCTACTATAGTTTCATCAAGACACCTTTTTCCTAAAGATAAAAAGTGCACTGGTTGTTGTTACTTAGCTGTATTGATTACTGTGATTTTTATTCCTAGAGCCAGGCTGAAGCAGCTGATGGTTAAAGGCCTGATGCAATGAGGTGATTCAGTTCCCTGAGCAAACCCAGTCTAGGACTTCTACCCCCTGGGTTAAGAATGGCCGAGCCCTTCCCTCAACTCCTCATCGCTGCAGCCCGCCAGCACCTCAGAATCGGGAAGAAGAAAGTCTTATCCCGCTCAGCCTCCTTGAATCTCGCTGGCGAGATACTGGCTGTAGCCGCTGGCTTGAAGCCAGCCTTCCTGTACGATTACAATTCTGCTGGGACTTCTCAGATCCTAAGCTACGTTCAGCAGCTTCAGACCATCAATCCGTTTGGATGCCGGCTACACATTCTGAGCATAGCTGAAAATGTTCTGATTGTCAACTTGGGGCTGATGCTGCTGTGGTTGGAGACAATCCTGCTTAAGGACAACATCCCCTTTGTTGACGTTTCTGCTTCCAGGACATGCCCTAGCCTTTGTGATCTGGAAGACGTGGGTCTCATCAAAGGTCACCTGTCAGAGATACTGAATCATATTAAAGCCCAGGCAGCAGACACATCTCAGATGCTTTCCTCCAGTGCGGTCTTTTGCTCAAAGTGGAATCTATGCACTCTCTTTGGTGTCTTGCTGGGCTATCCTGCTGCTTACAGTTTCCCTGTTCAGAAGAGCTTTGACAATTGCCTTTCTCTGACCCCACTGAGGGTGTTCACTGTCCAAGCCACGTTCTGTAAGATAAGCAACGATTTTAGAGTACGCTTTACTCCTTTAGCATCCCAGATCTCTTGTATCCCGTCATGAAAAGAGGCCTTGACGCGTGGTGTGAAAATCTCAAGGATGCTTTTAAAGCTCAGAAAGACTTTGCAGATCTTTGTATTACAAATGAAGTCGTTGCTCTGGCAGCAGTGGCCTTGTAAATGTGGGCTGCAATCCAGAGGAATGCAGCATTTTTTCCTCATGCCATATTTGAGAAGTATTTTGGGGAGTATGACTCACTGCTTAAGAAAAGGAAGTGGGAAAATGGTGCAGCTCTTATTCTATTGGAGTCGGGGTAGCCAATACAGTTCCCTCCAGATATTGATGGAATACAGCTCCCATCTTCCTTGACAGGAGGCTCCACTTGCAAATTTCTGTGGGTGTCTATACCCAGACTCAGTGTATATATAGGTGGTATATAAAGCCGCATTTTGAAAGCCATCCTGCATTCAGTCTTCTCAAAATGAAGCCTTGTTAACCCCAGCCACAAATATTTCAGCTCGCTCTTTCTTTCTTTTTACCAGTCCCAACTCCTAGGCCTGGGATGGGGAAGCTGCAGTTCTTCAGCTGTTGAACTCCATCTCCCAGCCAATGTGACCACTGGTACAGTCAAACCTCGGTTGTCGAATGTAATCCATTCCGGCAGCCCGTTTGGCTTCTGAAATGTTCAACAATCGAGGTGTGGCTTCCGATTGGTTGAAAGAGCTTCCTGCACTCAAGTGGAAGCCGTGTCAGATATTTGGCTTCTGAAAAACGTTAGAAAACGGGAGCATTTACTTCTGGGTTTTCGGCATTCGGGAGCCGAAACGTTCCAAAACGGAGGCGCTCAAGAGCCGAGGTTTGACTGTATAGGATGATGGAAGTTGTAGTTCAATAACATCTGATGGGACATGGGTTCTCCAGCCTTGTCCTACATGGTCAGACAGCACATAGCTGGATTGCAGGTTTTGCGGTTTCCAAAGCTATGGGACAATTGTGTGATGTTTCCATTCAAAACCCTCTGGAGGGTGGATGCATCAGACAGACACTGTACTTTATGTATTGTAGCCTTTAAATTTTTTTTATTAAAAAGAACAGAACAGCCAAATGAAGCAACATACAAAGCCAAGCAGTCCAACAAACTCCTTTAGGAGATAGCAAAGTTCAAAATTCTGTAAGAAATTAAAAACATGTTTGATACAAAAATAGTCACTCTCTGTAGACAACTCAGAACGCCCAAATGCAAAAACAGTAACATAAGCAAAACTAAAGGTAGGTTGTACTCAGGGTACAAAATTTATTAAGTAGGATACTACAGCTGTTGCCATCACTACCAGTAGTAGAGGAATCCAATGATCCTGCCATCTCTGGGGGGGAAAAAAGAAAAATCTAATAAGATAAACAAACTAGGGTATAATGTGTCTCTGTAATTCCTCCCTCTATTCAATCAGCTACACTTAAGTCTCTCCTACACTTCCCTTTTGTATTTTATTCCAACAAAGTCTGTGGTTCTATTTGCATGGAACGGTGATATTAGTGAATTTTTGGGAGTAGAATATTTTCCCCACTTTGCAAATACAACAAATGAGACTCATTGCATAGATGCTGAAGACTGATTAATTCGGAACTTATAATCAATAAAATACAAGAACTGCCAAAACCCACCACTCTAGTGAACCTGAAAGAGTTGCACTTTCCTGTATCTTGCTGGTCCACGATGGCTGTCCTAGCATTACTGTTTGAGTTTGTGCTGAAATCTAAGACCACTGACTCACATTTTGACCTGACATCATGGGTGTAGCTGGGAGGGGGGGCAGCTGCCCTCCCAACTCAATAAAAATGAAAATACATTGCTAACTGAGGTTCTGCCCTCCCAACTCAATAAAAATGAAAATACATTGCTAACTGAGGTTCTGCCCTCCCAAATCAATAAAAATGAAAATACATTGCTAACTGAGGTTCTGCCCTTCCAAATCAATAAAAATGAAAATACATTGCTAACTGAGGTTCTGCCTCCCCAACAAAAATCCTGGCTACGCCCATGCCTGACATGGCACGCTCTATCAACAGACTATATCAACAGTATGAGGTAGCACAAAGGGGGCATTCAGAGTGAATTCCTACTTTGGTCTTTTTGCTCTGAGGGTGATTGATCTCATCTCGGCACTGCTGTAACTTGGCAAGGCAACTGCGGTACTCGTCACTCAGAATCTCTAGCTCACAACGGAGATCTATGCACTGGGCAAGAAAGCAAATAAGTGTTTAGTATGGTTGTTCACTCTGGTTTTATCAAATGGTTTTGAGGGCAGCAGTTACCAATAAGTTTAGTGTGGTGGCACCTTGAGCATCCCTGATCCTGAAGCAGGGTGGTTAGTTCTACTGTCCTAAACCTGGCTTTCTCTCCCACCTTACTTCACAGCACATCTAGGGCTTCCTTCACCATTGGCTAAAAACTTCCTTCTTGTTTTAGGCTATGAATAAGGTAAACGCAGCATGTAATGCCAGAAAATGACATTGAACTTGAATGACTTCTATTTCCTATAAATGTTATTGTGAATGAAGTGTATTGATACAAGTCTTCCTATCCTGATGAACAGGCATGGCGTTGAATTCAACAAAGTCATTGCACGAGCAGAACAACTTCTGCAAGTAAACTTTCCCCTGTAAACACCTGCTTGTTTTCTCCCCCATCCCTCCAGAGCAAGTTTGGGGTCCGTGTGCAGGGAGAGGGGAGAGGGAGAGTTTGCATTGCATGAGCAGAGACCTTTCCATTTGCACAATCACTTTGTGGGATTCAATCCATGGTCTTCAAAAAGCATTCGTTGTCAGCTGCTATTCATACAATTTCCCCTAAAAAAGAAATGGTATCCGGTCTCTCCTCCTGACTCCAAGACCTAGCAAACAGTGGGGTTTGCTGTTTCTACAATAATATTTGAACATGCATAGTGCAATTGGGTGTGATGTCCTGTGAAGATGGTTCATGCGCCTTTGACATCACATTTAGTTCAGAATATTGGAAAATACCACGCATGTGCATCTATTTGTAGAAACTTTGGTTTGAAAAATCTGGAGTTTCTAGTTATTGTGAAGCCTTTATTTTTAATAGCCTTAGTCTGTCCCTTGTTTTGTGTTTTTAGCTCTCAAAGCCAATTCATACAGGCATTCAAAGTAGGCACCAGAGAGCCACCTGAACAAACTCTAATCTGCTGGCTGTCCACAACCAGCTAGTCAAAAGTGCGCAGCTGCCATCCTGGGCAATATTTTTGCATGCTCTGTGCAGGATTTCAAAATGATTACGGTCACATGAATCAGCAGTGATTTGTTTTTTTCAAGCTGACTTGTCCTAGGGAATCACAATTTGGAAATCTGCACATAAGATGTTTGCCTGCTTTTTTTGTTTGGTTGCTGTTCCGTACATGTCCAGGAAGATGCTTCTTCCAAAACAGAAAGAAAACTTACACTTGATGTGGGTCATTTAGGATGAGCTCTGACTGATAGGAACATTGCTATGAATATTCATTTCACTGATCCCCATATGGGACAGCTGCATATTCCTGCATTGCATGGGGTTGGACTAGATGATCCTCAGGGTCCCTTCCAACTCTACAATTCTATGATTTCTATAAAGCACAGAAACAACAATAACCTCTAAAAGCATCTAAGTCACCTTTCAAATGTCCCTTCTGCTCTCTTGTTACTCAAGTTGCATGTACTCAGAAAATACTCTGTTCCAGAAGGAAGCAATGATCTCATGAAGAAAATGTTCAGAACATGTAAAGACTCTTGAGAATGACTCCCAGCAGGATATGGAATATTTGCCCACAATCAAAATCTAACGAGGGCTAGAATGTCCATTGTTCATATGCCTACAGCCTGTAATTAAAACTCCCACCTTTTGTGTGCCATAGATTTACACTGCTAATAAAATATTTTACAATTGTGAACAGATCCTTCTAAGAATCTTTTAATAAAATTGTAAACTATATTTTTTGTTTCCTTGAACTATGGAATGCAAGCTGTTTCAGAACTCCGGATATGCAGGTAACAGGCTTACCTGTGTCTCCCTTACCTTTCGGCATTTGCTTAGAGCAGCGTTAGAAACTGAGATATAAAAGCTAGGAGCTAAATGACACCTTAAACCTAGGTTATGGGCAAAATAATGGAATGTCTAGGCACTTTTTTATAAAAATACAAAGCTGAAAATGAATGAGCTGCAGCTAAAATATTGTGTTCATCTTTTACAGTGGTGCCTCGCAAGACAAAATCCGTTCCACGAGTCTCTTCGTCTTGCGGTTTTTTCGTCTTGCGAAGCACGGCTATTAGCGGCTTAGCGGCTATTAGCGGCTATTAACGGCTTAGCGGCTTTAAGAAAAAGGAAACAAACTCACAAGAACTCGCAAGACCTTTCGTCTTGCGAAGCAAGCCCATAGGGAAATTCGTCTTGCGGAACGACTCAAAAAACGCAAAACCCTTTCGTCTAGCGAGTTTTTTGTCTTGCGAGGCATTTGTCTTGCGGGGCACCACTGTACATGGTCTAGTCCTTCCCTTGCCCACCCCCCTAATATTCGTATGAGGCTTCAGAGAGTAGCTATAAGTGGGGAGGCAGAAAAAGGTCCTCCTTTCCTTCCACTCTGCAGTTTTAATCTGAAAACTTGGCCTCAGTACTGCACCCAGAGCTCAGAAACTGCTTGCGCTAATGAAATTCCCTGTCGCAAAGTGTGCCCAGAACAATGGGAGTTTCGAACACTGGCTTACAGCCAAACTAGACATGAGTGCAGTAGATTTAAATATGTTTAAATCTGGGGTATCCTATCGCAAGAGCAAAAGGAGGATGGAGGTAAAGTGTGTTAAATCCTCATGTACCTGCAGCACAATCCATGTAGTCGGCATACTCCCGATGCTTTCCAACTAACCACAGGTGAGTCTGGCTGGGAAAAAGGCAGTGGGGGCAGGGAGCAGCAAGCAGAGGGAAGGTTCTTAATACCCGAGTGCCTCTTTCGCTGATAAACCCAGAATGCCACCACCATGGGTTGCATTCAACTAAGTTATACTCTAAGTAGCTCCAA